GCATTTCCAATATTTTTTAATTCTTAATGCATCGCTTTATTCACAGAGCATTCTGCTATATTTTCTAGCTATGATGACATGCAGACCACCACTGCCCTGTACTTACAGCTGTCCTTACTAGCCAGTCAGCCAGAACCTGCATGGATGCTGCTTTTGCAGGTAATATATATAATATGAAACAAACAAAATTTTAGGGTTCTTGGTAACAGAAATGTGAATATGTTTCGTTAATGTGTTAGTTTATCCATTGACTGGTATGAATGCAGGTAGATTTATAGATGACAGTACTGATCACTGAATAAAAGTACAAGTGCTTTACTACTGCTACTACTTATAGTATAATAATTATTATAACAATTATCATTGTTGTTGTTATTGTATTATTGTCATTGTTGTTGTTATTGTTATTATGATGATGATAAAAAGAAAATCTGCTTTGATAGTCATTACCCAGTTAACAAAACAATCATTGCTATTGCAGACTTTACTGATGAAGGATGTGACTCTTCCTATCATGTTGTTAACCCACTATGCCACTAACAAGTTACCTGCTCAGACTCCCCCAGATGTCCAGCAGTGTGGTGGCATGGGGTGTTGTGAGAAGGGCTGCCCTCACCTCTGTGGTCAGCCTCAAAGCCTGTACCAGCCTTTCTTTGATGTGCTCGTGCGGTGTGATCATATCCCAGATGCTTTGGCCAATGTCATCTTACCTATAATAGACAGGTATGATTTTTAGTCTTTGTTTTCACTGTAATTTTGATGTTACCTAAACTACCATCAGTAAACACCACAGGCCAGCACCACAGAAATTTGCAAGTTCTTGTGCTAAAGGGCTCTTTCCTACTGAAAACAGTTCTACATAGATTGTTCCAACTCTGTGGGGACTCTCATTGAATACAATCAGATTAACAGATTAAATATATCCTAATAGTTATCATATTTCATTTACTGTTGGATATTGGTATTATGTTTAAATTTTTAGAAAGCATTTATTTAGGACTTTGTGTTTGTATATACATATATTCATCTACTTGAACTAAAAAATAGAGGACAAGCAAATAATAACATTGTAAAAGTTAACACTATTTTTCTAGGACAAATGGCTGGAGTTTGTTTGCTGCTCAAGCCATTCCAGGCAAGACAGAGCTGGTGCCAGAATGGCTGTCCTGCCTTTTTGATCTTTTCAATCCTGTTGTGGAAAGGTAAGGTTTTTTTTAGCAGACTGGGATGGATCACAGGTGTATAACCAAGGAGAATGGGGAAAAGAGTATTTAACTTTTACAAACAGTTTTGATCTCACTTTGTCATATTTTGGACATTGATATTTAGAATACTCTTCATCTTTCTCATTGTTGCAGTACGTCTTTGGAGTAGACCCACTGTTTGAGCAAAGTGTGTAGTCTACAATTGAGCAGAGTTTCATCAATATCATGTTCTTTTATTTAATATGCAAATTCTACATGACATACATGTGACATTGCATTGGATTACATTACATTACATTATATTACATCACCCTATATTCTAGGATAATTGGACCTGCTGTGTGTCAGATCTTGAAGCGCCAGTCTGTCAGTGCTAACATTCCGCCATTGTCAGCCATGTTGGAAGAGCTCCCATGTGGCTGCGATCTCATCAACCACCCGAATAAGGTCAAAGAGATGGATGCAAATGAGGAACTACTGGGCATAGCATTGTCTCAGGTCTTACAGGCCCTTGGTGAGGAGATATATGCAATCCCACAAGCTGTAGGGGTGTTCTTCAATATGCTTCAGTCCAGGCTGCAGGAAAAGGGGATTGAAAGTGCACAGGATACTGCAGGTTTACAGGTATTGTATTTGCGGACGCATATTAAATACCCCACTTCTTTCAATATTTGAACTTGTTTCCCTGCACTTAGTAATTTCAAATATTTATTTTAAATAATTATAATTTATGAATTATTATAATTATTTATTCTTTATGTGCAAAAATATATTTTACTTACCTAATTCATTTTTATAGAAAATTATTTTGAAGTTAATTTCATCTGCAACATTTCACATCTCTGTAATTGTTGTTATAGTCATCTTCACTAACTTAACACAGCAACTAAAATTTACTATTTATATTTATATACATATATATATATATATATATATATAATTTCAGCTGCTGGCCAGTTGTCTTCGATACAAACTGTTAGACAGTTCCTTTATAGAGAGCCTTACAGGGATGCATATCAGGGTAACTGAGAAGGAACTCTTCATTAATCTGGGAGAAACTCTCTTTCAAATTCTTACTGATTCAGGTACACATTTTTCTTCAGTGTTTTTGTTCATAATTGCAAAGAATGACTATAAAATACTATCTATGATAATATTTTCTTAGTAGTAGTAAAGTACTTTTATTCAAGAAAGGAAGTTACTTGTAGTTAAATAATTAACATTTTTTCCAGCTGATATTTTTATAACCAAAGATTTATTCTGAATAAAAGTTTAATAGAAACTGAAATTATAGACTTGAAAACTGCATAGTTTTTGATGTAGTAATTTCAATTGATGCTTGCAGTTGTAATGGTTTTACATGTACTTTATATTCCAGTGAAGAAAGGCAGCTCTACACCCAGAATCTGCAAACGCTACTTAAAGCAGCATCGAGCATGGGTGCAGGAACAAGTGAAGCAGATCAAAGCATATTTTCTCTGCCATGAGTAAGGATTTTCTCATTCTAAAAACTTCACTCCACCAACGAACAAGCTACAATTGATTATACGAAAAGTCCTTGTGTGTAAAAGAAAATAGCATGTCATTTTAGAATGTTAAAACTATGTTTGAAGGATAAAACTGACTGTATACATGCATTTCACGAAAGCAAAAGGAATACAGGAAGACACCTTCTCTTCAGTCTTTTTTTATTAGATTTTGAAACACAGACAAAATATTTCTGATTTCAGTATATTCAGTGTAGAGGAGGGTAACCTTATGGAGGGGGCACCTTCAGAGTTTACCCACTGCCTGATGACAGCATATGCCAGTAATGTGATGAACTCTAGCACAGGTTGGTAGCTTGGAATTCTCCTGGATCTGCGTTTTATGTCTAATGGTTGTCTTTAACTTTACTTCAACACGAGACACTGGACATTGTGGTAACCACCATCAGACGAGTAAATCAATGATATTAGAACTAATCATTATATGAGAAAAAATTGAAACACGATAACCAAACCAATTACTGAAAGTAGTGGGTTAAATCAAAGGTGCCAATGAAGCTGGAAGCTTTAATTAACAAATGTTAGAAACAAAGGCATCAATTTTAAGTGCAGTTGTCATGGACAGTTATCAGCAAATTACAGGGTTAATATATATACAAATCAGTTCAAACAGATCTCATTTTGAACGAGAATTCAATATAAAATGTTATTGTTTTGTTCATTTGCCCAAAGCAGATGATGTGTTACTACTTACAGTGCCTTTTTTCTCCCGTTTAGGAATGAAATCTCTGAACCAGATTTACAACTTTGTTTTGAACAATAAAGACTGGATTGTGGCCCAGCTTGACATTCCACTCCTCATCCCAGCACTAGAGCCACCTTGTGGTCATGAATTTAAGTTTGATTTCCAAACACCATGTGTCAAGGAATATAATCCTTTGGAACAATTCCAGAAGATAGGACTTTTTTCATTTGACCATGTAAGTTATATTATCGCATATATTTTATGAATTGTTTTTTTACCTGGACCTTATACCCATTTTGCATGTATGATGGGTCCGAACCTGGACTGATCATCAAATAATAAAAAGTGCAGTACATGTATATTGGACCCAGTTGTCTTGAGCCTTCCTATTTTCAGTTGTGCTTGTATGTGTACATAAATAGAATGCCTTGCCCCTTTTTAAAGAACAATTCATCCCTTAACACTCAAAGTGCAAGGTCAAGGAATACATGTTACCATTTGTTTGGCTGTACAAATGTGGGTATTTTTTAAACTTGCGTGAGTGATGGTTAACAAGTATTAACATCTTGTTGAAAATACCTTTAGAATTGTTGATTTTGCTGTTTGGAATGTTAATTGGCTCTTAGAAATAGGACAATTCAAAGTAATTATTGCCAGCCTATTAAACCATGCCTTTTCCTTTTTCTATTGTAGAATTACATCACTGAATTCGCTTTCAACTGGACAGAGTTACTGAAAAGTGACCTGGGTCTCAGTGAGCTTGGCTTCAAGACTCTTCTCTACCACAGACATGACATGCAAGATGGGGCATATTTGGAACAGGGAGAAAAGAAACCTGTTCAAGCCCTGAAAGCTAAATTTGATGTTGAACCAGCAGAGTTGGTTTGATAATGTGGTGCAATCAATATAAGTGTCTTCATTGTATTTACAGGACCTCTAATACATGTATTTGTATGTTCGTTGTCCCAATATTTATTTTTATATGTAGTATGTTAAAGTTGATAATCTCTCCCTTTTGTACTGCACAGTACTTGTGTATTGGGAATTAAAGTATTTTATAATTAAATTAGGTAAATGTCATGTTAAAAGGGCATGAAATGGAGGCTTCATTATTCAACGGGTGTGTAGCAATACACAAATATGATTACTCACAGTTACACAAATAAGTTTTTGCTTCTTCATGATCTGTGATTGTTGTCTCATCCATACTTAGATTAAATGAGAAACATTTAGTTTTTGTAACTGCATGACAATCGGATTTGTAATTTCTGTCTTTGAATTTAGGTTTTTAATAAGGTTTTTCTTTTGTTATCATTTTCCTTTTTCTTTTGTGTAATCTATATTTATTCACCAATAACAGAATTATTTCTAAGTTCCTTATTGTGCAGTGCTCTTATTGTCGAAAGTTCCTCTTCTCAAAACTTGAGAAAAATTAGGTTCTGAGGTAATCTTGATATCATCTTTATTAATTTTGAACAAAAACTGACTAGAGATTAACAAAACCTAATGTAGAATTTTCTTTTTGTTAATAACTAAATGATTTTTGAAAATATTGTACTGGCTTCTTCTAGTCTTTCAATATGTAAAAGTGCTTAAAAATCTCTAAAAAATAGAAACATGTATGTATGTGACAACAATAATTTATGGAATAAATTCCCATACAAAACCAGAAGACAGTCCATAATTTTCTTCTTTGCATTCATCTGTTAAGTCATACTCAGCAATTAATCTTAATTTTGTCCTAATGGGATGGTCCAACATGTAAATCCTGCAAGGATCCCCGACAAAAATCTTTGTATTCTGGCCTGCAAGCATGTCCATCCATTCCAGCACTCTGTCTGAAATGTCTTTGTCATAAAACATATCTCCCAGCAGAAGGAAGTCCCAATGTTTGGAGTGACCTATAAGGTTTTCTGTAGATATTTCAATGTTTGGATAAACTCCATTTAATTCTGCATTCATCTGAATGGCAAGAGCTGCCACTAAAACGAGGAAAAAAAGTTAATTACCAAAGTGAATTTTTTATTGTTGTTCATAATGGTATCACATTGTGACATATGTATGTAGAATTTAAGTGTTAAAACAGTAAGCTATTTGTGACATACTGTAAGAAATATTGTTTAATTTTTAAAAAGAAAATATTGAAGTGATATATAATAATGTTTGGACATAAAAATCTGTTTCTTAAAAAAAAATTAAAGCACCATTGTACCAGGATCTATGTCATTTGCCAAAACCTGTTTTGCTCCCATCATGGCAGCAGCTATTGCACTGGCCCCACATCCACTGCCTATGTCAGCAACCACTTTATCCGCAACTTCTTTGCCATTGTCCAACAAGTACCTGTTATATAAAATACATGTATAAAGATGAATACTGCAAAATGAGGACATGGAAGCACATGATGGCACTAGCTGCTAATGGGTGGGAAACCTTTTGGAACAACTTGAAAACCAGTATACATGTGAAATGTAGTTATTCAAAGATTAGTTATAATATGCTATTTTTTGAAAATAAAATGTACATTCCTATGAATGAACCATAAAAAGCTTCTTTCACAAAATAAGGTAACCCCCTGCAAAAATGAATAAGATTTTTTAAGTAAAATGAAGTGTCCTAGCTATTTCCATTTATGTCGATATCTTCTATCAACAACCCCAAGTTACAGAGATACTGTAACTAGCTTCTTTTCTCAGCATGCCATTTCCTATACATAACTGGAAATCTCAGATACAGGCTGCTAACACTGGTTATTTCTGAAACTACTACTAGGGCTGCAAACAGTTAAATATATTTACCTGGTCAAAGCTTGCCCCCCTGGCCAGTAGAATGCCCAGTAAGGGTCACTGAAAATGCAGTCCGCTATGCCTGTATACCACAGAGGACACGTGGGAGTAATTAGATGTAACTGAAGTTCTGGAGTCAGGTGGTTTGTAGTGACCTCGGTATGTTTTTTGATCAACTCCCTATAGTCCAAAGACCTGCTTGCATTATGGTTTTGTTGTGTGCAGCACTGGTATGTTCTAAAATAAATAAGACATTTTTTATTATTGCACCATTTAAAAAATCCATACATTACCACAGCAGTGAAACCATCTATTTAACTTGATATAAAAAGATGCAAAAATTAAGTTTTCAATAATTCTAAACATCAGCACATTTTTTTACATACCAAGGAGAACAGAGGCTGAATAACACCATCGGATGTAATATCAATTAACATTCTATTAATAAAATACACAATGTCCATCTGTATACTGTAAATGTATGCTTGGTGTTTATACATGTAGATCGACAACATGTCAATGTAAAAAATTCATAATGAAAATGGACAATGAAAGACTAGGCCAGAGACAGGATAAAATAGACCTGCACTTTCTTTAGACATACCCTGATCTTTTTCTCTTGGCAACTTCTGACAGTGGAGACTTGGAGAAAATTTTTATTCTTCTTGTTAAATTCATCATACTGTCACTTCCATGGCGGGCTTTCTATAGAACAGAGACATAGATCTACTTACTAAAATGCATGTAGTAGTATATCATATAATAGCATGTAAATAAAATCTTTTAAATGTCATTGCATGTTACATTTTCTGTAAATTGGAAGGTGATTAATTGTACGTTTTCATATAAGATTAATCACTAAAATTGGCAGAGATTCTTTTGCACAGATTTCTTAACTAGTATCAGTAGTAAGTACAATGAATGTTACACTGTCAATGTACATGTACGCTGTACATGTAATTTGTAAATAACGTACTGACTGCAGTATAGTTCGTTTCCAACAAACTGTCAGACAAGGATTTCATGCATGAGACTCTTAATTGGATTCTTCTCCCAGCTAGCTCAGTGAGGAAACTACTATTATCGTGCAAACTGTCTCATTTTCAATAAAATCCTTACCCTGAAGGCCTAGGTCTGTGACAACTCGTGGTCCCACTGATTATACACTGTCGCCCGGAAGAAGGGGAATCCGTGACGTAGCAAGACCATGTGACCGTGGTATTTTATCAACATGGCGTTTGAAGAGAAGAGGAAGTGCATTTGGCATGCATTTAACGCTCTAGACGAACACCAAAACGATGCTGTTCAAGTGTCACAATTAAAGGTATGGTTGGAATATGCCTTATGCAAAAGTTTAGAAAGTTTGGGATTGAACTAAGAATCGAAAGTTACTTTTTGCACCACATTAATGAGATATGCTCCAGGTCACTGCATTGCTTTAAACTGTATCAACATCCTGGGAGTGCCAAGGGGAGACGCAAAAATGTATTGCAATTTCAACAGTGGCATTTTAAAACACGTTTGTAGTGTGTAAAATAAGTTTATTTAATCCTTTTGTGAGTTACCCGTTATCTGTTTGGAAAACTGTAACTCGATCTATATTATGAATGAGGAAGTTTGCATACTCATGTATTCATGTAATCAGTATGTAATTTGAATTATGTCAAGCAGAAGTAATGTGCTCACTTCCTTGATTGAAGTTTATCTTGAGGGCAGTGATTCATATCAAGTGAAAAAAATAAACGGTAAAAATCACGACTAGTTGGAAAACGATTTTAAATTTACATGTTTACCCTTTATTAATTAGAGTTTTAAACTACACTTTTTGTAAAAACATCTCACATGTTACTGTTAGTATCCATGTACAGTAATGATTCATGATGGGGGAGTTTGATTGTCATATCAGATTCTGATATGAAGCCAGGGTTGTGAATAAAACTCATTCACAAATTTAGGCATAACGGTGATTTAAGATGTCTCATGTCTTGTTAAACATGAACACATGCACATGTTTACACAAAACTGTCTGATGCAAACTGCATTATTTATTTAAATTGTGATTTAATTTTATTATTTTCCTAATTTTTGGTCAATAAATTTATTTATTTATTTATTTATTTATTTATTTATTTATTTATTTATTTATTTATTTATTTATTTATTTATTAATGTTGCAAACAGAAGAAGCTTGTTAACAGTGTGTAAATCATTACTAGGGATTCCCAGTTGAAGTGTAGATAAAAAGGGCTTGTTTTAAAAACAAGCCAACTAGGCAGTTCCGAATGAAGCTTTCTTGGCCTTTAAACTTTTTTCTATTTTAGTCAATTGAGATTAAATCCAAAAGTATTCAGTGATTAGAAAGATTTATGATTTTATGAAGTTTTGACTCTTATCAGACAAAAAGGCTTTCAATAAAAACCTTGTTTTATGATCTTGGCTGATAAAAAATGAACCACACCTTTAAAGTCTTACGCCTGATGAACTTTTCTCCTAAACAATACCTTGAGATTGTGAAATTGGTCTTTCATTGTCTCATGTATAAAGATGATAAAAATGAATCTTTTTAAAGATACTGAACTGTTTTTTTTACCTGTAGGACATGACAGAAAGGTCAAAACAACAAGTCTCACTGGTAAAAATATGTTTGGTCTTTTAGAAATGTTTTTCTTTTTTTTGTGCCAATGCCTTAAAATTGCATGGATATCTGTTCTGTAGTGACTGAGAGAGAAAAAAATGAATCCCAAACTAACTTTTTGATGCAAAACTATGCTGCTGCATTAGCAAACTAAGGAACTGTAGTTTTTAAAAAGGCATCTGAATACTAGTATGTGAAAAATTAATTATCTTCAATTATCAGTTAGTTGTTAGTTGCATGGTAATAGTGCTTTTGTGTCTACTCATCAAAATACATACCCCCCTTTAGTGGATATTGAACACATGTTTACATACTGTTATTGCATTTATATCTCCAAACTTAAGTAGCCTATTGTTTTCTCAAATTGGACAGGTTATTAATTAAAAGATCCAAGTCCGTTTTGAAGTTTTCTAAGAAGGGTGTAAATCAGAATGTAAATACTGATACTATTTAGCAGTCTCATAGGTAGCTCAAAGGTACTGATTATTGTGACCTACAGATAGATAAGTAAATTTATTTAATCATTGACTGACATGTAATTTTTTTCACATTGACTCAGACTCTTTTATTTGAGATATATATTTTTTTGGGGGAAATTTCACATGAAGTGTAAAAAAATGAAATTAAAAAAAAAATGACAAAACACATAAGTTGATTAACAGGTCTGTAACTAGCAAGGGTCCTTTTTCTGAAAAAGTATACCTTTTAGCATGAAACCCTTGTGTACCTTGATCAAATTTTACCCAGAGCAGACCTTTTCCGGACAAAAGGTCACTTCGTTCGAACCCTGTGAACCCCCCCTGGCTACAGGCTTGATTAACAAAATGTGCCTTTTTGTAAACAGGGTTGGTAGACAGAATTAATTTGGGTTTTTAAAACAGATGATGTTTAATTACAATGTTTAATGGGCACAGGAGTCAAATTTTTGTGTCACTAGGATTTTTTTACTTGGGAGTGGGGGTCTAATCTGTAGTGTGGACACTTTTTGAGCATGAAAACCAAACATTACAACAGCATCAAAATTGTACCTAGTGTCAGTTGTAAATTTTCCTATTTACTAGTAACAAACCTATCCCCAATGCCTTTTTGTCTACTAGTAAGGAAATGGTGCAGAAATCTGATTTCTACAAAATTAGGGTTGGTTGCACTCATTAACCAACTTATTAATTTTGTCTGACCTTCCTTTCAGGTGGCTACTATCTGATTTATTCTGGATTGAATTAGATCAAAATTATGGGTCATAAATTTAAAGTGACAAAGTGCAGGATTTTAAACATATGATAGGGGCATAAACCACTTCTTGTTGAACTTGCTTGAGGACAAGAAATGCTTCTTGATCATATTTTAACAGATAAATGCCATGAAATAATGTCTCCTAAAAATGATCAACTTTACCATCTTTTTACAAAGCTCCCCGTTTTGACACAGTGTAAAATAATATGGAATCTGGAATTTTGGTTCAAGTATTGAGCTCAAAGAGATGTCAGAAATTGAGAATTAAAGCATGGGTTGATATTGTTAAGTTATATAGTACGGTGAGTGTCAGAGGATGGTCAGAAAAAATACAGTTTAGCCCAGGAAAATTCACGAAGTATGAGCTTTTTGCTGGAAAACTAATCCTGTGCCCCTTTAGGGTCAATTTTAGACTACTAGTACATTCTTTTGTTTAACTGGGCACTTGGCAACAGTGCAATTTTGGTTTTGTAGGTATGCTCCTTAACAACATGTACTGCAGACTTGTTGAACTAAAAAAGTATGTTATTCATACCTTGCAGCATTTAATGTATATTATTGCCTTCTTATCTGATAACGTGTTTCTATCAGGTGCAGGACGTATACAGTATATGTGAACCATAAAAAAGGCAATCATTTTATCAGTGTCAAGTATGTTACAAAACATTAAGGTCATGTAGCTTATATGTGATATTTTTTATGATGGACCTATTTATGCAGTTATAATGCATAATGAAGAGTGGTGTCTTCGTAATGCTGTAAAAAGTGCCCTGTTTAGACATTTTGTTCTACTTGCTAGCTTGTCTCAGCTTTTCATCTCCAACATGAAAACTTAGAACTATGTTTTCTGTTTGAATGTTGGAAATGAAAAAGCCCAAGCCATCAATGAATCTTATGAAGTCAAAGACTGAAGCAATGTTTCATAATTGATATATAATCCAACTATGTATTAGTTACAGTAAATCTTAAAATATATTTCTAGAATAATCAGAAAAGAGGATTTGTACTCAACAAATGATATTGATATGTATTATATATCATTTGGGTTTTCTGTTATTTCCAGGTACTAACTCATAACATAGCCAACACTCTGGGTGTACAGCGAGCAGAACAAAGTTTAGACATGCACCAGTCTTCGACAGCTCTCAGTTTTAAAGACTTCCTTCATATTGTCCAGTCGGAAATATTTGACCCACTTTTGAACTCCCCCAATGAAGTCGATTACAATAAAGTAGATGAAGTTTGCTGGATGGTATGTAGTAAGAAATACCTAAAGCGTGAACAGGCTGTCCTCAGTGATGATGGAGTGTACAAACTTTGGAGAGTTTTTAATTTTTTGGCAGAGTGTGACTCTGAGGGCGTGCCTCTGTTCCCAGTGGTGATGGACTGTGATGAGGTAGCCTTCGTGTTCAAGGAATACACAGAAACGGTCGGGGAGACATGGAATGAAAAAGACTTTGAAACTATCAGCAAGGAAATCCCCTTGTTTAATTATCATCAAGTATTGAACTACATGGAGTCCCATTGCGCCAAGGACCAGCAAACCAGTGTGGTCTCGGCAGGCTTGCAAGAGCTGTATAATCAGTTTATAAATGATGTTATACGAAAGGTAAGTTGTTACGATTCATAATATTATGTTTACAAATATGTGCATGCATGAATGCGCACAGCTAGGAGCTTATGCAGTGTATGGCATTGCATCACTGTGTAAACAGTATAATTTGACAGAATGATTTCAGTGTCCAGGTATGAATGTGATTTTTGATGTTTTTTGCTAAGGTATGTAGAATCAAGTATCAAAGATAAAATTTGGGTAAATGTATATTTTAATAAAATAATTAATGCAGTATTACTAATTAAGAGCAAATTAATGTTACATGGCATGACAATAATATTAGTATACTATCTATTACATCATTAAAATTTAAAATGATGAACTTAAAAGTATTTTTCCTAATTTTGTTCTGCAGACAGTTTACTGACATAGATACAGCCTAGCTTAAATTGTTGTTAAGATTGAAGCAATAAAGTAAATTTTTGTGTGAAAAGGGAATAAAAAGGAAGGTATTATTTAGTTCAATCAGTTGCTGAACATCATGGGTTTCATTTATCAATATTAGCTTTAATAACCCATTATGATGAGATGTAAACCATACAGGTCAAGGTAAGATCCCAGGTAACATAGAAGTTGTTTGTCATCAGCTCAGAATGAAAATTTTCAGATGTTTATTTTTCCTTTTGTTAATAGAACCTCAGGAATGTGTGTGGTTGTGTTTTGTCGCAAGCTAATAATTTTGTGAGATACAGATATGTGTCAATGTCAAGCTGACGTCTTTGGTCTACACTGATGTCACTAGGTGGTGTTCTTATCACCAGTGGTTGAGAATTGTTGTTTCTGCCCCCCCCCCCCCCATCCCCATTGTCATGCCTGCAGCACAAGTAGATTGTCATTAAAAACACTTGTGAGTATCTCAAAAAATTATTAGTTCGTGACAAAAGAAAATTTACAAGCTAATATAATAATCATTTTCATTAACAAACTGATGAACTTATTTCAACATGTTTGGTTGTGCATTTGTACAGTGTGGAGTGATATTGGCGTAGATCTGTTATTGGATTCATTTGCACTGCATTTGCTTCACTGTTTTTATGCTGTCTATGGTGCCTTTGTGATCTAGACAGATAATTAATTTGCCCAAGCATGATTTATGTTTAGAGAATCACCTTGGAAAAAAAAGGAAAAAAGAAGAAAGATGATACATTGTGCGTAAGTTTAGATTGAAATTTGTATTGAGTTAAAGGAAAGTTCTACTCTTTTCATGCAGGGCTGGATAAAGATAAAAACAAGTTCAGACACATGGGAAGGAAAAATGGTTTGTTTCATATTGGGGATTAACTGGTGTATTTCTATTTATTATGCTATGTCAGTGAGGTAATATGTTACGCTCTGTGCTTTTATGTGTGTATTCATTACTATGCATGATGAGAATTTTACATTTTAATTATCCCAATATAAGAACTGGTATCTTGGAAAATTACTCTATTAACCCTAAAATGTTGAGGTTTGTAGACTTAAATAACAAATGTGACATATCCTTTATTTTGAAAGCAATATAAACACCAAATATTGTCTCCTTAGAAAATATTTAAGGTTAATCCCCCCCCCCCCCAAAAAAAAAAGGAAAAAAAAAAAGAAAGAGAAGTAAATCTATTGAAGCTTCTATGGTATGCCCTTTTTGACATTTGTGAGATTTCAAAGGATTGCGACAGAAGATGTAGATTTGATAAAAGTCTTATACATATATATAACTTAAAGGCTGAGCTTAGAAGGCTTTAACCTTAGGAAAGATATGCTTGATTGCACCCCTTGAAATCGTAGGCTCTGCTTGATGAGATTGAAACTCGGGAGATTTCATATTAAAAACTGAATGTGGCCTTATTAATGTGTAAGTATTTATGTATGTCACATTAGAGGTAAAGAAAAATGCCTGTACGCTCTGATGATTAAAGCACTATAAACTCACCTGCTCAGTGTAAAAAGCTACGTGGTAATAAATAGGATATATCACGAATAAAATCTTTGAAGCTAAAGGGTTATCAACAACTTTTACAGATCACCTGAAGATAGCAAAGGACAAACAAGTTTTGACATGACAAATTTTTACAGACTGCATGGATGGTTAAAGTGCAGGAAAACAAACTGAATTTTATACTGTTATTTTCTTTTTTATTCAGATATTGTTGGTCTGTCCATGTGGAAGCTTTTGCAGTCCACCACAATCTAGTTACGTCCACAAAAGACAAACCTACTAGTAAATTAGTTTGTAATATTTAATTTAAAATCAGAATACTTTTACAAAAATATCAGACCTTTTGCTTATGTTTTGCTATAAATACATATACTTTTTATATGTGAAGTCGTATATATCTGTTTTAGTCGAAATTTGTTAAGAGGTTACGTGTAGTCATAATGCAGCAGAAACCTTGCAAAAGGCACGAGAACACAAATATCCAAAAATGGAAGAGAGAGAGCTTCTTAAATGATCTTTGATCAGTATGATGTACAATAAAACATGGTACCAACAAAACATGAATCATCATCACATGAAATACATATCACTAGTATGTGTTTTTCAACCTTTGGAATGTTTGTCTTATTGTAAAGTGTGATAAAAAGGACATTGCTTGCTTATGTCAGACAGGTATAGAAGAGAATGCCAAAATCACCCGTATTCTGAGCATGAAATTTTTCTTGATAAATGCTAAGGGAATCCTATGAGGGAGAAGAAAAATGGTGTTTGTCTTACTTTTAAGATATATTTTAAGCCACATTTGATCATGTGTGTAGGTACCAGCATGGTGGTAGATAATGACAGTGAAGTTGGGCAGAAGAGATGTGTTTTGGGTTTTAATGTTGTCATTGGTGTTATATGCTGCATACTCTCCTGTAAGTTGTGGTTTTGGTACCATGCATGTGGATTCCATCAGTTCTTGCAAGATTTAAACATTTTGAGCATTTTAAAAACCTTCTTGATTTTGGGGTCAACCTGTACATTTTCACAGGTTTTGCAAAAGTTACATTCATTCATCATGACAAATACTTCGTACAGCTCAGTCACAGTGCAGACTAAATAACAGACATTTGTAGAATTTCTTTTGCACATCTTGTCCATTAGAGGAAGTGGCATCCAATTTTCTACTGTAATTGGTGAAGATTTACAAGTGAAATCATTTTTAAGTGATAAAATTGCAGTACACCAGTTAAAGACAAGCTCTGAAATCATGAGATACAGGTGTACATTAACTTTTAAAATTGGATTTAAAAGATGGCTTGTCCTGATTAAAAAGATGTCCTTTTTGAGTCTTACTTGAATGTCAGATTTTTTGACGGTGCAAGAACGCTTGCTATTGCTACTCTGCATGTTCTAATGTTATGGAATGCATAAAAGCAGCTAACGGTTGCATATGTCTGGTGGCTGCTATATATGCCCTGGTTATTTATGCCTCTCTATTCAGTACACCTCTTTTATTCAGATGACAAATTTTTTATGGTATTGCTTGCTTAAAACCCAGCAATGTCCTTATGCAGACTGTTTGAGTAATCATGTTCCAATTCTTGTGAGAACACTTGCATGGGCCAACCCATAACTTTCTCTGTCCCCAGTAGATGAAATGTAGAATCGTTGGTATTGAAGTGCTTTGTGAAATGGATTGTACTTTTTTACTTAGTGATTTGATTCAGGGGGCATGTATAATGATATATTTATGTGGGGCTTGTATTCATTAATGCATGTGTGTGTGGGGGACAATGGAGGTATGGCATGCAGGTGGAGAATAACATGGCAAAGTACACATTTTGAAGTGGTTAATGCAGATAACTACAATAACTAATGTAGAGTGGGAAAGGAACATGTGATATCAGTGTTTTTTCACTCTTATTTACATGTGATAGTCTTTAGTGAATGAAATCAGATAAGAAATTTTAATTTTTGTTAATCCTACATTTTATATACAGACACGTAGTTTGTATGTAGAAAGCTTTTTATAGATCACTAATGATCTGTGAGTTTTCACCATTATCATCCCCATCCACATATTAAGTAGATTATTTTCAAAAATCATATTATATTTTCAATTGTTGTTTTTAAACATATATTATGGCCCATATTTCCCATTAATGCCAGACCCTATTCATGAAATAATGATAATATGTTTGAATATTTTATATGGTTGAAAGCACACTTTTTGTCAGAAACTTGAACTTTGAATAAGATGATGAATTTCAGAAACTTTTTATTCAGCTTCTGTTTAAGTCCAGACCAGAGTGACCTATTTATGATTTATGTTCATTAGTTTGGAATAAAAATGTAAAATGAATAGATCTCTTACATTTTCAATTTCTATAAGGAAATTTTGCCTCTTTCACTCAAACTGAAAATAATTGTGCCCAAGGCAACTAAGCTGAATCATACAGGTTTGCAAACTTTGCCCCCATCCTCATCCTTACCGCTTAATTCCTTTAGGCCCCCTGCGTTTCAGTTTTTTGCATTGTCAATTTTTCATCTATTTCTGCTATCTTGAACAAATCTTGTTTTTGTCTTTATTATTGTACCAAAGGAGCAATTGTTTAAAACATATATATATAACACAAGAATTATTTTTATTTTTTTAATTTATGTTTTAAGAATATCACTTAAAATCTATGAAAAATGCAATGTATTGAAGATTATACATTTGACATGCATTTTTCAATTCGTTCTTTTTTCTTTCACAGGGCTGGTTGACCAAAAAAGGTCATATGATGACCAACTGGAAAGAAAGATGGTTTGTTCTTACTCCAAGTTGTTTGAAATATTTTACCAACAGAGATGAAGTGGAACTTAAAGGAGAAGTGAGAATTAGCAGCCATGTTAAAGTAGAGGTATGTATGTTTTTTTCCTTCATTTTGAGGAACTACCTGTATGTAATTATGTGATGTTGCTGTACCGTAGTACAAATTTTCCTCCAGAAATTTACTTTAGGTTTCTTTTGTGATTATCTTGCGTGTTTACTAAATACATAAAAAATAAACTAAAAAAAACATGTGCATTCTACAATGAGTGGATCTCTACATACAATTTATGAAAATCCTGGGTAATTTATTATGTCAGAGTCATCTCAACATTAGTCAAATACCATGGCGACAAGCAAGTAGAACCTTAAATTTTTATTTCCCGGAGCCAGTGATTTTTCTTTTTTTATTATTTAAAAAATTTATTATTATATATTATTATTCCCAGTGTCAGTAGAAATGATAGGAAATAGTTAATATGGAATTGAATTAAGAGTGATACATGAAAAATACAGATCTTACCATGACATTGATCTTGATTCAATATGCACATAGGATTTTTTTTCCATTTTTGTAATTTTGTAAACCTTGTTGCCAGTAAATTTTGAAACATCATTTAAAAGCATCATTCAGATATACTTTTTTGTATTGGTCAGTAATATTGGGGTCTGTCTATAATTTATTGGCAAGAGGATCAATGAGTCAGTTTTTGCAAGTTTGGAAGTAATTTTTTTAAACCAGAAGACATTAGATTTGACATTTACTTGCCTTGTGCTCATCACTTGCATCTAATCTTACAATGAGCTGGTGGTACTTGGTCAGGAGGCAGCCCTCACCTCTGTCTAATACTATTTAGGTCACAAGCAAGCACAGGTTACTTTAGTGAAATAACACAGCCTTGCTCATATTTGGTAAAGTATTGAAGTTTTTTAATTAAGAAATACTGAAACCAGAAATGGATCACCAATTGCAAGTAAATCATATCAATAGTAAGAAATCAAATTTTTAAGTTCTAATTTTATTGAATACAGCTAATTTCTGAATTAATACACCTTGAGAATTCTTCAAATTTTTTTATGATTAACAGAAGTAGTATATTTTAATATAAAAAAATCTGAATAATCAAAGAAATAGAATATTGAATTCTGTTTCCCAGTCCAGTCCTCTATTTCCATCCACAATTTTCTTACTGTACTGCATATATGAATCCACTGATCAGTGTTTAATTGTTTCAAAAACATGATTAGAATGTTTTACAGTTAGGACTCCCTCTATCCTGCATTTGAACTCACCTTGTTCCTAACAGTAGTATTCTAGAATTAACCTCTTTAATTTTGTTCCTTTTATGTAAAACATTGTATGTTTATGTTGTCATGAATGATTGTGTATTCTACATGTTCCAGTATGGACAGTGTCATTGTATTGTTGTTGTATTATCATTGTTTCATGTGACCTTGATTACAGCTGGTTGCAACTGTCAGAACAACTTGCACAGTGCCACCTGTCATTTCTTAGGCTCTCAGAAAAAGAAAAGTGAATATTATATATTTAGATTCAATCATGAAAAAATTGCAGGGCTGTTGGTCTTAATTGTGTCTGTCTTAGTGTCATGTTTTTTTCATAAGCAGTTTTATTGGCTTTCTTTGTTAAACCATACTTGTCAGCAGCGACTGAAAAAAAAAAAAGAAAAACAGTCGAGATAACTTCTTAAGATTTTATCTTACTTTTAGGCCTATCATTTTAGATACATTATTACAAAAAATACATTTGTTCATTATTTTGAATAATTGCAATTAATATGCTGTTCTAATAATATTTAACAGAAGAATACTTCTTACATTAATGTTTGATAAATTTGCAAGAAGTATTGAGTTGGTTCGAATAAGGATAATTTTTCAGAAATTTCTTGTTTAGAGGATGGGGTGGGGGGGGGAGCAATTTACCACCCCCTTTCTAATATCCAATATTATATATGGCTTTGATATAAAAGGAATTGTAAATAACTGTTCTCTTACTAAATGCTGAAATCTGTTTGCAGGCTCTTCCAGATAAACCTAGCCACAAAATGGGACAACACCGTTTCCATGTATGTTCAGAGACGGGCAAAACATATGAAATAGGCGCTAAAGACATGAAGAACAAAAACAGATGGATAAGAGGTACTTTGTACATTTTCTGTTCCTTAAAGATATTTTGAAATAGGTCAAATTATTTTATGGATACAATCCAGGATTCATAAGCTTGTAAAAAGTGCCTAATATAATTTGTTCTTTTACACTGAATAAGTATGAAGAGAAAAACATTTTTGTGTGTATTGTAGTGTCAAATAAAAGTGTCCATTAATATTGGACTTAATTTGAAGCAAGTCACAATAAATGAGCCATGTTTTTCTAACATCGCTTTAAAATATTTTGTCGTAATAGCTGTTCAGCTGGCTATAAACCATGCCCCCAGTGCTGAGAAGTTCCAGCGTACCCAGGCCATGGCCAGAAAAGCAGAGAGAGATGCAGCAAGAGCAAAAGCCAAAGAAGATGAGGAGAGAAGACGGAAAGAAATGGAAGAAATGGAGAAGACTAAATCTGAATTAGAAATACTAAGAAAGGTTAATGAAAAAAAACTTTGTTTTTGTTGAATGAATAATGTATAATGATTATTAAAGGAAAATACGAATTATTTTCAGCCAAACCATTTTGTCATCATTGCATAGGGTATATATTTTGATTCAGATTTTTTGCATCATTTAGAAATATGGTCAATTCTGTTTCAGATGAGAGCAGAGTCTGATGCAAAACTGCTTGAAGAAGCTTCTTTGAGAGAATCTGAACAGAAGCGACTAGAGGAACTTAAAAAAGCACAGGCAGAGGTAGAGGCCAGGCTCAAAGAAGAGACAGCTTTGCGTGAAGCAGATCGAAAGCAGCTTGAAGAGCTGGCACAAGCTAGAGCTGAAGCAGAAGAAAGGTTGCGAAAGGAAACAGACATGCGTGAAGAAGATCGGAAGAAGTTGGAGGAGCTTGTTAAGACACAAGCAGAAACCGAAGCCAGGCTGTTGGAGGAATCTGCTCTGCGAGAGGCTGAACAAGTGAGGCTGCATCAGCTTGAAGATGCACAGAAGCAGCTAGAAGAGATGTTACAAGAGGAGATCCAGGCAAAGAAGGATGAAGAAATTGTCAGATCTCTGCAGGCAAGGTGGGTGCAGTCATTGTTTTATCTTAACAGTATGTGGTATTTTGATGAAGATGATCAGTATTTCATTTGATTTTTGATTTTGAATAAGTGATATGATTAAACAAATTGTAATATATCAGTGCCTACCTCAAGATATTTTGATACCGGTAATGTGATCCTGGTGATCTTTTCTTTCTAACTCTGTTTCTTTGAAAGGGAAAAGACCTCAGTAAATATTGTTTTTATTTTTGTTACATTGTTGTACTTAATCATTCATTTAGGCTCCTTGAGGAAGAGTTTGAAAAGAGAGAGGCATTAGAGAAACTAAAGGCTGAACAAGAACAGTTGCTAGAGACAGAAAGACAGAAGAGAGTAGGCCTGGAAGAGGCACAAAAGAAGCAGGAAGAAATGCTTAATGAAGCCAAAGTCCAGCTTGAAAGATTGGAACTTGAGCGCAAAGCTGCAGATCAAAAAATGATGGTAAGCAATCTGCCCCTCTATACACAAATTTCTATTTCAAGTATCAATTTGGTTTGATTTATTTTTTAAATTAAGTTTATAAACATGCAAATGGCACTGAGATGCAACCACCATGTTGTTTTATATATTATTATATATAATTATTAAAAGTTATTATTTTTCGTGGCAGTTATATCAGCTATAACAGCAGCTTGTTTTGAAAAAAAAAAACTTTTTTTTTTTGCATTTTCAGATTATAAGAGAAACATTATTGGTAGAAAGAAGTACTTTATCAAAAGATTTATAACTTACAGAACAATACTGAAATTTTGATACAATTTATATCTGCTTTTTATCAGTAACCTGTATGGTATCAAAATTTTTGGAAGAGGAGTTTATAGTTTACTTTGGTGTTTTCAGGAAGCAGCTGAAAAACTGAAAGAAGCTGAAAAGGCTCGAGAGGCAGCAAAAGCCAAAGTCCGCGAACGCCAGAAACCAGTTGGTTTAGCCAGACTGATAACACCAGAGCCAAACCCTTTTATTACACACAGAGGTTATGGTGCTTTCTCGGAAGCCGAGTTTCTTCCAAAGTCAAAACGTCAGAATTTATTGAGCCATGATCCAGAAAAGTCTGACACAATGGATGGCAATGATTCTAGCCCCTGCGTGAGTCCAGTTGGTCCCCAATCCCCACAGTCGCCTCCAGCACTGCCCACGTCACCAGTAGCAGCCTCCCAGACATCGCCACCACCTCTCCTTTCATTACATGAAAATGGTGGGTCAGGGCCTGTAAAACTTGCCATGAACAACCATGGAGAGGATGAAGATACAGTAGAATTGTAAATCAAGGGGGGTAGGTCTAAAATATGGGGGTAGGGGGGGGGGGGCTATCATTTTTGCCCATTTTTTCTATCCATTATTACGTGCATAATTGTATGTGTATTCTGTATTGTTTGTACCAGATTTATTTATGATAACTTTTCATGAAAAAAAAATTGATCATGAGGAAGAAGCCTTAGATTTTTCTCAAGGATGTTATTTTGTATTAAAACTTGTATTAAAACTTGAATGTTTGTGAAATAAGTATTAAATGGTGATTATTTATATAATGAAAATGCAATAGTATACTGAAATTGAAAAAAAAAATCTTGAAGTGTGCCACTTAATATTTTGAAAGCATAGGGGTGAACTATAGGCACAAAATAATCCACAAGAGGGAATATAATTTTCTATACAATACTTTCCCTTTATACCCAGTGTGAAGTTAACTTTATCTATTCATTCAGAACGATGTGTGATCTAAAATTTGAATGAAGATTACATTTTACATTTTCATATTTTAATCACATAATAGTAATCAGTCACAAATGTGCTTTATTCTGATGCAGCCATATCACCCCTTTTCCCCGCTGCAAGTACTATTCATATATTGTTATATATTGAAAAGTCTGACACAACATGTGTTATATATTGATATATTAAATATTAATGGACAGCACTATTTTGCATTATTTTAGACACTTGGTTTTCATGTAAATATTTCTATACACATGCATGTAACCAGGTTTTGAGGTTTCTTTGTAACATGCCTCTTAATGTGACTAATCTAAAACATTGTATTTTAAAATATTTTATCAGAAAGAAAGCATTCCTGTTTTGGAAGAATGTAAGATTAAAAATTGCCACGAGAGTTTTCACTTACTTTTCATTGAGGCAGTTTCAAACAAATGATAGTAAAATACAGAGCAATGTGTAATCTCAATGTCAGTCATGAAAGACAAGAAATTATTCTTCATAAAACAGTTTTATTTACTACTTTTAATCCAAGGTTCTGCCTCAAAATCCATAAGCTTTGGAATGCAGCTTGGTCATAGTTTCATACAACTTATTACTTCTGTTGTCAGCTTACACCACTGTGATTGATTTCATTGAAATCTCTTTTCTTCAGTGGTTGCCAGTTGTATACCTTTATTTCTGCAAGTGAAATAGTCCAAAAAGTGAAATACTTCCAAAGTATTCTTTATTACAGATATAAGTAAAAAAGAAAATCCCTATCTTCTACCATTGTTGTTTATGCAATAGGGAAAATAAAGATATTTTGAAAAGCTTCATATAGGTGTGTGTGTGTGTGTGTTAATATCTCATGGTTATACATGTATTTTATCACTGACAGAAAATTGACCCAGTTCTACAAATTTTTCAATTGTAACTAAGTTCAGAAATTGAAATGTTCCTAGCATCAGTCATTTAGAACAGCTGGTCTCGGGGCATGGCCCATGTATACCATTTGATTCGAGTTCTGATAATTGTTTTTTATGTCTTCTAAGTGCACTGTTGGATACACTGCAGCCCAAAATGGAACCCTTTGCTTGACCGCTCTTTGAAAGTCCTCTTTGGTGCAGGAACAGTCCAGAATCTTTGACCATGTGGCTGTTTTTCTGATTTCTGAAAGTAGAGTGACCAAGTCCATAAAATTAAAATAAAAATCTAACAGCTCCCTGGATAGTTTTGTGCAAATGATCGTTTGCAGAATAATTATGATAAATAATAATAAAAGGGAAAATGTATTCTCATTGGTTTGGACATTTGTTTTTGTTAGCTGCCCTAAGTTGTGCAATTTTTGTTCGTTTTTTTATGTACAAAGACTTCCCCTGTCCAACTTTTTTATGTGCATAGACTTCCCTTGTCAAATGGACATTATTTTTTCATAAAACATATGATATATACAATTTGTATTTTAACCTCATCTATTAACTAGAGCTGAAATTGATGTGTAAGTGATTACATGTATGCTATGGTTTATTATTAGTGTATGCTCTTCTTACTTAAAATAGCTTAGTGTATGTAGCAAGCTAGCTACTCTTTGTCTCTGAAGCTCTATCCTTTTAAGACCAGATCCATGGACAGGTGCTATGGCCTCTAGGACCATTGGCCAAAGTCCAGGGGAATGCTTTTCACAAAAGGCCTGAACTACATCTGGCTGGTTTAACTTTTCACCACCTTTCTCATAATGGGTGTATAATGCTCTTTGAAAGGTGTTAAGGAGTTGAGCAAAATTTCCTGAAAAAAAAAAATAATGACACATTTTCAGAGATTTTGACCTATTATACAGTAGTTAACTGTACAATTTTAATGTTAATTGTTCAAAGGATAATAATTCAATTTATGCACTAATTGTGATAATAAATTATCATTATAATTTCACCTTTGTCTTTTAGTATTCGCAGTTGTTCTTGGAGCTCCTTGATAGTATCTTGCTGATCCTTTATTTTTTTGGAAATCAATTGGGCATTGCTGTTTGGGGTCCCAACAAATACAATCTAAATAAGAAATTGTAATTTTTATGCTTAAGCTTAATGTGCCTTCCCACAAGATATGCCAAATAACCAAGACAGAGAAAAAGACTAGGGCTTCGTTCACATGAAAAATCTATTTTCTAAAAATCTATTTTCTATCCGCGGTATCTTGTGATCACTCTGAGCGCAGCCGAGAATTAATTACAGCTTTGGAAGTAACTGGCTCGCGCTGCCAGTAATTACGCCGCGGGGGATTCAGGGCACAGACTCAGACTATGATCACAAGATACCGCAAATAGAAAATAGATTTTTCATGTGAACGAAGCCTAAATCTGCACTTGAAAGATGTCTATAAACCAGGTATGAAAGTTCATCACATCATGCTAGTCACAAGGGGTATGAACTCCCAAGAAGGAAGTGCGCACATTTGGTTTATTGACAATTTATGCATTTTGTCTCTTTTTACACACGGTACAAAAAATTCACAGGTGCTGAGCTTGCTTATGCTCCGATTTTGTGAACTTTTCCATGCTCTCTGAAATCGGGCATGAGTAAGCTCAACGTTTGGGAAGAAGAAAGCCATGAAAGGAAGTTACCTGGTGCACATGTTATTTTACTGTGTGTAAAAGAGACAAAATGCCAAAATTATCAATAAACTCAACGTGCTTCAGCAGCTTTCAGCAATGTGGAGACACATGGTTCATATTAGGATGGAAAGTGGAGATTTAAAGTGAATAAGGTTGAAGATTACAAAAAATAACAAGGATTAAATTGATGCCAAAAGAACAAGAGGTACCTTGTAGATGCACCAAATGTGAATGATTCAGAAGCTGTTAATGATGCAAGTATAGTATAAGAATTATTGTAAATTATGTACATTATGGCCTTACAAAATTTATATTGTGTGGGGTATACCATTTTTTTTTCTTTTTACTCACATAGACTCGTTGACTGTTTATTGGTCCAGGAGTGATTGTTTCTGTGTCTGCAGTGGATGAAATCTGAAATCATACTAATGATTTTTAATACCAAGGACAAACAATCTAATTAATCCAATTATCATTAATTTGTGAAAAAAGTCAAGAGAAGGACATTGCTTTTGGATTTTTATTTGCTTTTTACTCACATGGCCATGTTCACTGTTTATTGCAGTAGCACCTCTTTCTGCAGACAATGCCTGGAATCAAAATTTGAAAATGAAAGGCAGCCTACATAATTATGTAAGGCATTAATAAACGATGTTGGTATAATGTGCCATACTACTTGTGTGTTCATTTGTAGATGAAAACAGAACTGATGCAAATGCATGCATAAAAATTACTTTGAAAAAATATTTAACATGATCTTAGGGACGATTTGTATTACATGTATAATATGTTTATTGCTAGTGAACTTTTTTACTCACATGGTCACATTTACTATGTATTGGTCCAGAATTGGGTGTTTTTCTGGCTGCAGCAGCAATCTGAAAGCAGTTATTATTTTTAATTCCACAAGGGCAAAATATCTACAAGCCTGTGACAAGTTAATCCAATTACCTTTGTGTTAAAATTTAAAAAAAAAAAAAAAGAATGACGTCTTATTGGATTTTTATTTACTTGTTACTCACATGACCAGGTTCAATTTTCATTGCAGTATTACTAATTGTATCTCTGTCTGCAGATGATGCCTAAAATCAAATTTTGAATATTAGTGAAAAGCAGCATGTATACACACAGTAACTGTGTAAGGCATTTATAAAATCACATTGATAATGATGTTGGTATAATGTGCTATACTATTTTACAGAAGTTTTTTATTTTAATGATATAAATATATATGTAATTTTTTGTATACTCACATAACAATGTTCACGGTTTATTTGACTGCTACTGCGAATACTACATGTAGTAACTGTATCTGCAGCAGATGAACTCTGAAATCAAAGTAATGAGTTAGGATATCAAGGACAAACAACCTACAAGCCTGTGCTAAGCCTTTTAATTTTTAATTTGTGTAAAAAAGTCTGCGAAAAATAAGATTGAACACACAGTATTACCATACCTCTGATATTCTTTTCCTTTTTATTGGTGGAAGATATGAAGGGTGGTGTTGAACAGTGGTGTCAATGGTTTTGTAACACAAGTGACAAATATCGACCCATTTCTTGTAGTTAGTATTATTACTGCCAAGATCATCTAACACTCCCCATAGCCTCTCGGGGCATGGGCGATATTTTTTCGAGTGACGTGTAAACAACCCCGTGCCCTGGGTGCAACAGAACTTCGTGTGTACATCTCTATAATGATATTGACATAATGGAGAGCCTATTGATACTCCCGTCTTCCTTGCTGCTCTGTTATCTGGCACATTCATGACGCGTCCGCGACACCTCGAAGACTGACATAAACAGCGCTTGTCCATTTTACAGCGTGTTGTCTGCTACTGAACCAATAGAGGCCGCCAGTGTTTGCTTCCGTGTGTTTTGATCGACATTTTTAATTTTTCGGAAGCGAAGCAATGGGACTCAAATATCAGGTAATTCAAAGACCTTCTGCATATGCAAATTGATTTAAATTGAATTGTATAAACTGTGTATTGCTACAGACTTTGCGAAGTAGAAGACCTGGATTTGGCTCATCATTGCTACAGTGCCAGCTATGTTGCCTCTAGACCACCGAAACGAAAGGTGAGGGAAAGGGGAAGTTTGTTATTTTTTTCTTCCAGATTAACCGAATCCAGAACGAACGTGAACAACAGGTATACAACATAACTTAAGATAATATGTTTATGTATATTTATTGGCACATGTATTTCCCTAAGTGTGTTTTATTAAGTAAAATATATAATATTTTCTGACTGCCGCTGGCGACATTTATTTGCACCACATTGCTAGGTTATGATATCAGTTTGCTAATAAATCAAAATAGATTCGTTCCAGAGGATATAAAAGAAAACAATGCTGCAACATTTCAATCGAAATCGGCGAATGTTTTACCGAACTTATTAAAATCAGTCATAAACAGCCAACAGCTTGAATAGAACTGATTTTAAAAATTATTTTTTGTTGTTCTTTCATCAAAATCTGTTCACAAGTTGTGCTACGTTTTGACAGACAGGCAATTGGACTCAAAAACACAACTTCATTAGCAGAGGTAATTAAAAGCAATACTGGCATGATATTTGTCTGTGCATTTCAGGTTCTTGTCAGACTACAGGAACAATGGCATCTGGAGGTGGAAATAAGAAAAGACAACCAGGAAACAGGAAGAATCGGGAAGCCAATGTCGATTCCAATTTGCAGCACTGTGATGATAACAGTGTGGCCCACAATGCCGAGCATCACTTAATGCCAGAACAATGTGAAGAGCCCATGTCTACAGACTCACACGAAGCGGGAACATTTAACCAGCAGCATTTGGGGCCAGCAGCACAATATTGTCAACAGAAACAACATCAGCAACATCAACAACAAGTGCAGCATCATATGCACGTACAACATAATCCCTCAAGCCCTCATCAGCACTGCAGCACACAAGTCCATGACCATAATATATCCGAGTCCTTGCACTCGCACACGACCACGTTGTCTTCTCTAAACACAGGCTTTTCTGGTCCAGTGCCTTATAACTGGCAAGCCTCCAAAACTAATGTCAAAGACCGACTTGCATTTATGTTCAACAACGAAGTTATGAGTGATGTCCACTTTGTAGTTGGGAAAGAGATGAATACACAGAGGATACCAGCACATAAGTTTGTCCTCTCTGTAGGAAGTGCTGTATTTGATGCCATGTTTAACGGCGCCATGGCAACAACATCTGAAGACATCGAGCTCCCTGATGTTGAACCAGCAGCATTTTTGGCATTGTTACGCTTTCTGTACTCAGATGAAGTTCACATTGATGCTGAGACTGTCATGACAACATTGTACACGGCCAAGAAGTATGCTGTCCCTGCCTTGGAGACTGCTTGTGTGGACTTTCTTAAGAAAAATCTATGCAGTGATAATGCATTCATGCTGCTCACCCAGGCTCGGCTATTTGACGAACCTCAGCTTGCTGGCCTCTGTTTGGAGACAATTGACAAGAACACATATGAAGCTCTGAGTGCTGAAGGTTTCACTGACATTGACAGAGACACCTTGTGTGTTGTACTGGAAAGAGACACTCTAGGCATCAGGGAGAGCAAGCTATTCAGTGCAGTGTGCCGTTGGGCCGAGGCAGAGTGTCAACGTCACGGCATTGCCATCACCCCAGAAAACCAACGCCAGGTGCTTGGACCGGCCTTGCAGCAGATCCGATTCCCGCTGATGTCAGTGGAAGAGTTTGCAATGGGGCCTGCCCAGTCCAATTTGTTACAGGACAGGGAGACAGTGCAGCTGTTTCTGTACTTCACTGTCAACCCCAAGCCTACTGTGCCCTTTTTAGACGTGCCCCGATGCTGTTTGACTGGGAAGGAACAAGTGGTGTCCAGGTTTTGTCAGATTGAGAGTAGATGGGGCTACAGTGGTACCAGTGACAGGATCAGGTTAACTGATTTCATAAGTTTTGCAGGATGTTAGTTTAAATGTTGTTGAAGGAAGTAAAAAAAACATGTTCAAACTGTCAGTGCTTTTTATTAATGATTATTTATTGATTATCATTATTATTTTTTTTTTTTGGACATAATACTATCTAGGATGTACTTTTCTTGCAGGTTTATGGTGAACAGGCGGATATTTGTTGTTGGTTTTGGTCTATATGGCAGTATCCATGGCCCAGCTGAATATGTGGTTAACATTCAGGTTAGTGGTCAGTTTATTTGGAATACTTTCTCAATATAGCACAGCATGATCTCCCTATTTGATTTTTATTTATGAAGACCAAAAATATTCAGTTATTAGTTTAGGTAGTGAGGTTGTTGACTTTGTGTAGAGACACTGCTGTAATTGTGTGTTCGGAAGCTGGAACTGTTGCCTAACTGCGTTGCATCTTTTGGGCTTTCATATATGTTATTTATTTCTTACTTGTTTTACAGATTATTTGTACAGACACTGGTAAGATAGGTGGTCAGAGTAACAGCACTTTTCAGTGTGATGGATCCAACTCTACCTTCCGTTTGATGTTCAAGGAACCTGTGGAAATCTTGCCTAACATCAACTATACTGCCTGTGCTACTCTGAAGGTGAGCACAATACGCAGTTATTGTTTATTTATTTATTTATTTATTTTTCCTGTGTTACATCTGCTCAGAAAAATATCATTTTAAAACAACACTTTTTTACTCTATTTGTTTGAATACATTTGAGTCTTTATGTATGCAGTCTAATTTTTTCCTCCATTCATCCATTATGCCCAGTAGGATAATGCCATGAGAACTTTTCTATTTTTCCTGTGGGAAGCCTGTGTAGGAGGGCAATAATGCACAATCAGATTAAGTGCTACTTTTCTCAGACCAAAGTTCTTTATTTCATAAACATTTAAGGAGATTGATTATTTTTTTATGATTTTAAAAAAATTGTTACCTTGAGTTTTTGTTCTTCTGAATTTGAGTTGATATTGTACACTTTTAGGGTCCGGATTCCTATTACGGCACAAAAGGGCTGCGTAAGGTGACCCACGAGTCCCCCACCAGTGGCAAGGTGACATTTCAGTTCACCTACGCAGCAGGCAATAACAATGGCACATCGGTTGAGGATGGACAGATACCAGAAATCATATTCTACACATGAGGATATCTTGAGGATGAAGAAGAAGGCAAATTATTGGCATGAAGAACTCCTTCAATACTGTTGCGGATTGCATTGTAAAAAGATATATATATATATATATATATATATATGTTCTGTGTGGCGTGTTTGGATTCCACTTTGTCAAAATGAGGAGATTTTTAGGCTGTCCTTGGCGTGGGAATATTTTCATGAAAATCAAAATAGATAAATTAAGGTGGTCATTTGAAAGAGAAAGTATTGAAATTGAGATCATAATTTATCTTATGGGGTATTTTGTGCCATTAATATGCCTTCAAGAGAAGTTTTAGCTTCAGACAATCTAATGTACAATCAATCCTGAAAGAAGTTGCCAATTTAAGAATTATATTGAATTAGCATTATATGGGATTGAGTTTAGAAGAGCGATTGGATTGAAAATGGCATGCCAACCAATATCTTTGTCTGATGTGCAATCTTATTGAAAGTTTGATGTATTCATTGGAAGGAAACTAAAGAATTTTTGGAATTCTTGACTTTGTGGGCTTTTTTTCTAATAACCAAGAACTTTGGGAGCCAAATATGTGCAGCTTTTGGAAAAAATGTTGAAAATGTATGTATTTCATGCTAAGAGCAACTTTTTCTGAAATGATTTCTTACTTTTTAAGGACCAACAATTAAGAAACAGTTTCTTGGCTTAAAATTTATGCTTAAGCTAATTAAGGTCAGCCCTTTGAAGAAGGTACTTTCAGTGCTATGTAAAGTTGTACAAAATGTCTTTTGCGTGTAGTTAAAAATTGTCAACAGTAGTGGGTATAAGTAATTGAGTGCTCTTCTCTTAATTGCATCATTAGAATTTCAAGCCAACTCTTTCAAATTTCTTATATATCCGCACAAAAGTTATTCTAAATATACCTAAATTTGAAAGGAATGCCAGCAAGTTCTTATTTTATAAGACTTTCATTAGATGTGTTTGGGTGGCTTTTTAGTGCTTGGCCCATTTCTCTAATGTAGGCATCAATTTTGAACAATTAAAGTTGAAAATTGGTTGCCAGCGCCCAAATAGTGGACAAATGTTGCTTGTTGCTAAGATCATGTGCAATTAAACTAAAGTTCAGAATAGCTGTAATGAAATCATGTGTGTTGGCAATTGGACAGGTTACATGAGCTAGTTTGAATACCAATATATTCCTTCCTTTTTTTTTGTCTTTTCTATTAATTTTTCACCTTGTCAAAAATTCTTAGACTGATGCTAAGAGAATTTCAGTATTAAATTTTCTTCTATTATATCTTTAAAATTTACTAAATGTGTTGTTAAATCTCTATTGTAAAACATCACTTTACAAGTGATATTTAATCTTTTTTTCTTTTTTCTGGATTTGTTGTTGATAATCTCTTCATGAGGTATAAACAGAAAACAAGACAGTTAAATGTCTAAACATACTAAAACAAGACAAATGATTGTACAATCATTATTGAACTCTATTGCAAATAAACACAACGTCGATGTACCTGTAAGTGTGTGTGTTTTATCTTGTATCTTTGGATTGTAAATGTGAAAATACCAATTGATGAAAATATATGAAGGTTTATATGTTCTGCATTACTACAAGTATAGTTGTCAAAGTTGATTTTACTATTTTCATAAAATTGGAGGGTATACTGTAACTTTGACCACATGATCAGTTGACCGATTAATTGTTTCATTATGTGGCTATGTAATTTTGTTCTTGTAATATGAGTAAATAAGGGGTAACTTGAATGGTCAATTCATTCATTGTCTAATGTCACAGAGATACTTTTCTTTTATACCCAATGTCATTTTCAATTTATTCATTCATTTGTTCATTCATTCAATCAATCAGTCAATCAAAAACACATCTTTTTTTCAGACCATCAAAATCCTACAATGAAGATTTTAAATGAGAGCATAAACATACCAAATAAAAACGTTTATCACCCAAAATTCACGGGCGAAAATTAACTCCGATAAAAAATTTTGACACCCCAAAATCTTGTTTTAGTATCGGAGCACAATATTTTCACTTTTTAACAAAATGGCAACTTCCTCGCCGGCGGGAGCAGTTGGAGTCTTGACCCCTGTTTCAGTAGGTTACTTTGATATATTTAAGTAGAAAAACTCCAACAAAATATCTTTGATTTAATGATGTGCGCAAAATATGTAAATATACTCAAAGCTGCTTCTCTGTGCTGAATGAACGCAATGTCTTGTGGGCTAGAGCATTCTTGACAAGACACTATTTTGTTGTAACTAGTAATAGTGAAATGTACATGTACGTTCATAATATGCATCTAACATTTACTATGCGTCCGCGATTAGCAGAACAGTTTACAATATGAATAATCTTTTTTAAACTCATGAATGTCCTGTTTATTAGTATGGTAACATCCACGTGTAGTGCTTTTGTTATTTCATACATTTCAATATCCTGAAGAAGGAGCTACATTGAGTCTTACTACTAGCAGATAATATCACTCTCTATTTTTGTTTTCATGAAAGGTAAGGGTACAGCAAGCCCTTTTGAAGCCTGTCCATCAAAGATGTCAGGAAATACAACATATTCTAGAGGAGACAAGCACCAAGGTACTGCAACAAAAGATGAAGTGTTGCCTTGAAACAAGGAGTTTCTTGCTTGAAATAAATAAGGATGCCAGATAAAAATTGAACACCAGCCAATCAATACATCCAGTGCTAGTGTATTTCTGCACAGACAATTGTTTTTAATGGGGAGGGCACAAAATAAAAGTTTAAAATATTGAATTTTTTCATTAACCCCCAGTCTGTTTTAACATTTTTTTAGCATATAAAATAAACAGAATGAAGTTTGAGTTACAGATATACCTGATATATATACATATTTTTTTCTGTGTTTTACAATTCAATGTATGCCAGTTCCTTCATTTTTAAATGTCCATATATTCACTGTGACATGCAAAAAATGGAAATCCTCACTGATAAACATGAGATATAACTGTTAGATATTCAGATGTGTTTTACACTTCAGGACCTTCACCAAATATTCCCCTATCTTGTGGAGAACATCTTTGGGTTCAACAACCAGCCTGGATGGGGTGTGGGAACCATTGCCAAGAGCACACAGCAGCTGGATTATGACATGATGCGTCAGTTCTTGTCCCCAAGTGGTCCACTGATACGCGTTGTATACAGACTACAGGCTGACCCCATGTGTAGATATGATTTTCCTCTGTCCTGTCTGCCAGTAAGTACAGACAATGACTCAAGTTCGCATGCAAGTGTGCATTCTTGCATGCACATGCGTACGTGCTCACACACACACATTGAAGTTTATACGAAGAATTTGTGGCCACAAGGCTTATTTAGTAACTACATATAGCTCAGCATGGAATGTTTGCTGTGTATCTTAAAAAATTTAATTTGTACTTTATAGTAGAAGAAAGAAGCAAGAAGAAGTTGAGAGTTCAGTGTGAAATTTGATATTTTTGTAGAGGGATGTCTCTTTGTACACACTCTGATATAATTTCCCTTGCATAAAACATTTTGCCTTTGCATCACTTAAAGATTTTGTGCAATTGTCACTGGATATAAACACAGAGAGAATATCAAATAGGAGAAAAAAGGACTCATTGAGGAGTAAAAGACACATGGCAATTAAAAGCCTTCTCAGAAATTACAGCATCAACATGAATTTTTTTTTTTTTTTTTTGTGTTGTCATATCAAGAGAGATCTTATAAGCTTGGTATCAACCCATATTTGTCCTAACTTAACATTTCATGATTGCAGTTCCCCACAAGGCAAATGTTTGAGGACAACAGCTACCATGGTGCAAGTCACATTCCAAGACAGCCTTCAGCAAGATCCCTATGTATCTTTTGTATAATCAACTTAATTCAGTGTATAATGTTTATGCAACATTGGTCTGATGAATTGGTGAGCTTTTTAAGAAGTACATCAATGGTATATTTTTTTAGAACTTCTGATTTACTGTTATTTACTTACTGGATTGAAATAATTGGATTTGATGGGTACATAAATGTGGTGGTATAATTTGTAACTTAGTTGGATGTGAGAAGATTTAATGTGAAATGTGTTTGTCCCTTAACTTGTCCCAGCTGCATTTGAATTTTATTTCTTCCATTATTTCTACCTGTGTGTTAATCCACAACAAAGGGTTAGTACCTGTTTAGCAGAAGCTACTTTATCTTATACAAAAATTGTGTTTTTGTTAATGTTGAATTAAGTAGAAAGGATGATCTGGGGAACACAAATTTGACTGGGGACCTTAACCTTAAGCTTGGGGTATTTTCAAGATTACAAATATAAAACTGTGAAATTTTAATGTAATTCACTGCCTAATGACTGAAAGTGAAATATCTTTAGATTTCACTGTTTCATTTATTAGTACTTAATCATCTGTTATATGGCTGGCTAACTAGTATTTATTTGGCACTTTAAAATCTTTCATGATGACATATCTTTTCATCTAGCCAAATTACACTTGCATCAAAATATGTTTTGATAATGACAGTATTTGATATTTGTTTCAGAGTTTCTTTAACTGGAGTAATGCCTCCGAAGCATTGTTTACAAGTCTGCTGGAAGATTATCTGAATTGTTTTTTGCCCCTGAAGGGTAAAATTGTTAGTCCCATGCCAACAGCTGCTTCACCAATAAGAAGTCCTGTTGCACACAAGACACATCTCCACAGGTACTCTGATATAATGGAGGGTTTAGGAATTAATTATGCTTTTTCTAGAACAGTATAATGTGTTCAATAATGGTTGTGAATGTAGCATTTTGAGAGAATAAAATGAACCAAAACACAAATAATTTATCTTCATAAAATCTACACATCCATTATGTTACATAAAAATACTATACAATTGTTGTTTGTATGACGAACATGGTAATGAAAGGTAAGCATTTGTGTCTATTTTTAAACGTTTTCCAGACAAAGCTCTACATCTGGATACCACAGCAGTGGCAGTCCTGGGCTGAAACCACTAGTCAGCTTGCTGAAGTCTCCACACAGCCCTCACCATCAGGTGCAGCAGAGGAGCATCCCCTACCAGGTGTCCACCACAGACCCACTGGACCAGGAAATGTGGCGATCAGAAACTTTTGTGGAGGTAAATTTTTCTGCGGGGCCTTTACAGTTTTAGAGGTTGGATTAGACTGCTAAAACTATATGTCTGACTATGTGAAGTTGGGTTCGCAATTTTGGTTAAGGAATGAAAAATTGATCTGCAGTAAGTGAACTTGATATGCCCAAAAAGGCTGTTGTCACAATTGAGATTAAAACTTTTGTCAAAACAATCATAATTTGTTTTAGTTGTTAGGCAATAGACTAGAATATTGAAGACTGAAAGATTGAAGCAGGTTGCTTATTAGATTCTTTGTAATGTACAACTTCAGTTATTTGAAATACTCTGCAGAAGTCAATTTTGAACTTGTAAAATTTTGTGATACAAGACCCTGACTCCGTGGTATTTTGCGGATGATGCTAGAAATATAAATGTGCTTGTGCGAGTCCTGAAATATATACCCCTTTTTTAAAATCTAAATCAGCTTCCAGATGAAAGTTCTGTTTTAATTTCCTTTCAGATTCTTGTGGAGTTTTGGTTAAATCAAAACAGTCTGGACTCTCCAGAGCAGCATGGTGGGATCAGGCAGGCCATGGTTAGTATTGATATTATTATTATTATTATTGATTCTTTTGAACTATGGATATGCTGGCCTATTAGTTTGAATATTTTTCAGAATTGTAAACAAACATTTTCAGGGTAGATTTTGGAAACCAATAGTGCAATTGTGAAAGATCATTGACTTTGCTGAGTATCTGTCAGGGCTCAAGTTATTTATTTTCCAAAAAGAGCATAGTAGATGAGGAGTAATGTAAACCAAAAGCAGTTCAAATTTATCAGGTTTGCCTAAGATATCTACCAGAATGCAATTTCTGAATTAGCACATGTTGCGATTAACTACCTCACCTCACTTGCAAAGATTGCATCTTTTTGAGCATTTTTTGTGCCATTGCTGTCAGTCTTTTGTCATTTGCATAATCAAATCCATAGAACTTTTTTTGATAAGGGGGGTAGGGGATGTTGTTTTGACAGAAGAACGTCCTATGTCTTTGAGTGATTAATGCCTGTCTGTTTCTTTGCTTGTAAAAATGTCCACCACCTATCAGGTCATATCCCTGCAATACATTCAAAACCTTCAGCTACCTATTTTATTTTGTCTTATTCCTTCTTTTACTTATATTTTTTTCAAAGCTTAAATCTAGTATAAAATTGTACTTTTATTTTGAAAATCAACATTGAACAGTTAAAGAAGTATGTCCACTTACAGTTTTTAAATCTTCTTGTACAGTGTGTTCTTTTTCTACACCTCCTAGATTGATGGCTATCAGAGAGTTCTGTCATACTCAGACCCTTATTATAATCATTTTTATCGAGTGAGTATAATGGTTTCCTTTGCTCAGTTTTTTGGGAATTATGTAACCAGACACTATACTTCTTTTGTTTTGTAGCATATATTTATGTGTCCTTCTGTAAATGCTCTCAATAATGCTTTACTGCTTCTACCCAATTTTTGTTTTGTACCCAGTTTTTCATATTGTAAATCCAGTATCCATGTATCTATCCCTGTCCTCCTGGGACATATTTAATATGTTTTCATTTATCCCTTTCTGCTTGTACTACTATATGCATGAGCAATTTTGAAAAAAAAAAGAGTTTATTTGGCCTTGTTTTGTGCTTAACTGTGGTAAACTTTTTTGACAGTATACAAAGCCTTGGTTTTTATTGTGTTTGCATGTCATGATCCCATACATATATACTTGTTCTAAATGCTCACAATGTATTTGATACATATGCTGCAATTGCATTTATTGATTCAGTTCAAACTTTTGTTTTTATTGATCATATTTACTCCTTTTTGAACCATCTATTTAAAAAAAACACCCATTTTCACCTATAATCTCTTAACTGTAAAACACGTCAACAAAAAGTGCGATAATCCATAGCTGAAACACAGAAGCTTTTTGTGGGTATGTTTGCAGATGGTTTGTTTTTATTAGATTTTCAAGTACATAAAGATGAAAATTTATGAAAATGATGAACTGTCAAATAAATGTACATATATAACCTGTGTCCCTGCACAAGTCATTGTATCACGCTTTCCAGGTTACCTTTCTGTTGTTTCCTGGCAGGAGTTCATGGACTTTAGGGTCGCTTTCAACAATTGTGAAATGTTTTCCATTCATTATGTACTATGATATATGTTTGCCTATCTTAAGTCACACAAACTTGTCTTGCTGGGAAGCAAGATATTGCTAAGAATGCCTTTGGAAGAAATTTCGGGGCTGTGCATGATTTTGCATTGTGTTTGAGAATAGCTTCTTTTTCAGTTTGAATCTTTTGCATATCTCCTTTTCTCTAGAGTGTGCTACTTGGCCATTTAGGAAATGGAAATATGTTTGTACTGTTTCTAAAACTTGAAAGAAAAAGGGATACATTTTTCTATCAAAAGATATTGAGTTGTGTAATTTTTGAAAATTTTATTACCTTAATGTGTTAGGTTATAACCCTTTGAACATGTCAAATTGTGAATATATATTTAAAGTATTTAGCATCTGTTGAATGATCCTTGGAAAAGGTTTTTGTGGGTATGTTTTTTGTAAGTTATCTGTCTGTATCAAAAAGTATAAATGTGATTTCTTGAGAAAGGTAATTTCTAGCATCAGATAATTTAGAGTAGACCTATTTGAGACACTAGTATTATTATAGTTATTTCAGACAGTTCAGTTAGAATCTTCATGTACTTGAACACCAAGAAGCGTATGTCCTTCATAACTAACTTAGTTGTATTCCTCATTTCCATATCCACCCAAACGGAGCATTATAAAACGGTGGTGTTGGGGCATTTTAACCATATCCAACAATAGTTCTTCCAAGTTAAGGCTGTTTGAAATCCATGTCATTGGTGGTGATTTATCATATAGATGCTTTTTAAATCAGAAACATTGTGCTTCCAGGAGGTTTTTCTTCCCAACAGCGACCAGGTCCGGGTTGTGCGTATGTTCATCAAGCACCTCCATTTCTTTGCTAACAGTGCCTCTCCAGACCTGGTACTGGCTTCATACCAGGCACAGAACCTGTCACCTCTGGATGAGTTTAAGAGGTCAGTATGATGTCACATATTTGTATGTACATGTAGCTGCTGCATTCAGACATGGAGCGGGTTATACAGAAAAGTAAAGTTTGAGGACAACTTAACTCAGAAAGCCAAATATTTAATTTCTGCTTTCTGATATGGTCTTAAAGCATGAAATAAACATTTGTCTCATAACGAATATACTTTGCATACCTAAAGGAGCCATTGTCAGGACAGAGGATCAAAAACAATTTGTTCTAGAGGCTTAGTGATTGGGTGAAAAAAGGGGAAATATCCAATAAGATTTTTTGTGGAATGCAATCTGGCATGCTAAGCTCCATAACAGTCTTTGCTAAGAGTGATTTTCACCTTGGGGACTTTGTGAAAAGGGACACGAACTATTTAAAATCAGAAATAGGTCATTCTTACATTATCATATTATTTTAAAATAGTGGTAGAAATAATTGTAGATAATAAGTTAAAGTAATACTTACTGTTGCAGGAATGTTATTCCACAGATGGTACAGAAGAAGTTGTATGTTTTCCTAAGGCATGGCTTTAACCACTGGCCTCTTGACTCTTCTTTTAGATTGGTAAGATCAGCACTAAAGGTTTGAATAATAAAAAAATAGGACATTGTATTGTATTTAAATGGTATATTTGGAAGTAGGGGTATTGTTTATTATGTCGTCATGGGGAGGGGGGTTAAGTCAAAGATACAAAGATACAGTTCAAAGTATGTGAGAGAAAAATTCAAGTATCTCAGTGGTAGTGTGATAATAAAAGAGACAACTTGCTTGTAAACATGTTCAGAGACATTAAAAATAAGAATAAAAATTGTCTGTTATATACCTACTATCATGTATATTCAATAATATGCAAGTTCACATGAGCTCATAACTTAAATGTGACTTTGGGACACATCTATTAAGACGATTTCATTTTCAATCCACAGTTGTTGGAGACCTGGTTAAGTTATGTCCAGCCTTGGCGGTATGTTGACCCCAATGCCATCATGAAAGAGAAGGAGTCAAAAGTGGACAACAAATGGTGAGAAGAATCTAGAGCAAAGCAGCAGTTTGGATCTTCTGTTGCATTCAGACAAGATTTTATTAGAATGGATGTGGATTTAACTTGCACCTAAGATACAAGTATAAATATAGTTTTGTCTAAACACAGCTTAAGACATCAATGGAAGATCATATAAGTGACGGCCATGGTCTTTCTCTGGTATTATACTCTGTATTTATGAAAGTAATTAGGATTACCAATATTGCCTTGTCTTTGTGGAATGCAGCTTTATTTTGTGTATTTTATGCATAGGTAAGATTCTGGATTAGCATTTTTCTGAATCCACAAATTATCCACAAATTATGTTTGCTTTTAATTGTATTTAATATTAAGGAGTTGTTCCTTACTGAGTATACATTGCTCTTTTTACTTTTCTTAGGTTCCAGTTTATTGTGGATAATCTGCTTTTTTACACACACCTGTTTCAAGAATTTCTTCACCGAAGTCAGCGCATGGATCTCTCCTCTGCCAAAAATGCCTACATGCTGTTCAGGGTCACCAAGGTATGTATCTTGCAGGGATGAGACTTTTTCAACTATCAGCAGATTTCCAACTTTTTGGGAGCCAAACGTCATTGGCTTAGGCATGGAACCCATGCCATATTACAGTATGTAAAGTTAAGATGTGTACTTCAAGGTTGCAGATTTTTTTTTTGTTTATGGATGAGGTCTTGCTTCTCTTCTTCTGCAGGAAGAACATTAAATGAAAGATCACTAATTCTCTCTGTTTCAGGTGTTTGGACTCCCTAATCTTCGAAATATGTTGGAAGAAGGTGAGTAAAGCAAAGTTTTCTCCCCACCCCTCTCCAAAGTTGAAGGTGGTAGTTGGGAATTTGGTTGTCTAGATTTTTCACTTGTGTTTAGGTCAATTTTTGTGCTCGTGAAAATATTTACATATAGTTGGGTGTGTAATGTGTAGTGTTGTATTTTTTGATTCCTCGTTTGTTATTATTGAGCATTTAAAAAAAATTGTCTTTTATAACAATGAGAAAAAAATTCATTTGGTATGTTTCTATAATGTAATTTTTGTCTGGCTATTTCCAACATGTTTCAGTCAATTTTATTGAAACTTAACACATGTGAAGCACTGTTTCAGCTGGTGTGTGCCTGTAATAGTGGATAGTTTCCTGAAAGGCTCTTCGTCAAAGTTACAATTTTAGATTTTTCAAACAGCAGCTAAAACTGATGAGGGAATGATGAAGGTGTCTTCTTAGGCCCTGAAATATTGGAATGCTAATACTTATAAGTTTTAGCTCTTGTTTGAAGAAGCTCTCAGTGTAACTTTGCCCAGACAAAATTATTTAGTAGACTCTTAGACATTATTTAGATTCTGTGCTATTCCAGCCGAGCATCAGATGTACGAGTCTCACCACAGGCTGTCCAGGCGTGGTCCCCAGATGGACATGGGCTCCAGCTACCTGTCCCATAGCAACTCAGTGAACACAGCAGCCATCCTTAGTCTACAGTTTGCAGAACTAGAGGGCCCAGCCTTTCTTTATAAACCACTATTTGAAGAGGGGACCAAAAAACAAGTACGTGTTGTACAATTTAGAGAAAATGTGTGAGAATGTTTTGGGATTCCGTTCTCTTCACTGATTATGGATTTCAATATTTTTGTTATTCATTAATGTGATCCTGTTGCTTATATCTTTATAACAATATGTTTGTCTTTCATGTCTATTTGTCTTGGAATACCAATAAAATGAAAGCAGTATGTCCAGTTTTGTTTAAATGTAGAATATCACCAGTGAAAGCAAACATGAAGAATGAGAGCTTGGGTGATCATTTTACCAATTTTACCAATCTTAAAAATGGCATCAATTTTAAAATTAAACAGATACTCCCTCCTGTTTTTGTCTTCTTGCCTGGATTTATAACAATTAAATATTGTTGGATTTGATAGTTTCTTTATAATTTACAGATAGAGTATCTACTACAGCAGATCCTCCACGCCAAGTCGACATCATCCTCAACACAGAAGTCCAGTGATGGGGGAGGATCTGGTGGGCTGCTGTCATGGCTGGGGTATGGTGCTTTGGTGGACTATAATGCTACCAGATTTACACAGACAGGGTTTCCCGAGGAAGACCAGAGCAAGTTAGTTTTCCACCTAGAGCAAGCTGCAAGGAATCTCTGCAACTTATTTCAACTGTCGGTTAGTATATCAGGAATAATATATTCAAACTACCTAGAAATGATGTTATATGTCACTTCAAGGTGTAAATGACAAATGTGAATAAATTTTAAAAAAATTAATTCTCATATTTTTGACCAAAATGTGCCAGAAACCTGAGACACTGCTTCTTTTGCTGTGCCATTTTGTCATGGTTCTGGTTTTGTACTGCTTTGCAATGTTCATGATTGTCCTCTGGAGTTCTTCTAAGTCCTGTAGTCCTGAAGTGTCCTTATCTGCCATTGCAGGGAAGTGTGCATCACTTTTCCCAAGGATCCAGAGCATATTTAGAAGTAGAAAGTATTAGTAATCTGTATAAATCCTGAATGAAACATGCTTCTTTGGACCTTGCAGTGGATCCCCAAATCGGCCTTTTCTCCCTTGAAGAGGAGTTAAGAGGCTAAATCCACCATTTAATTATTTAGTGCTTCCTGGGAATTTTCCCCATGTTTGAATGTTTCAGAAAAATAATATTTGAATTTCAGATGGAAACGGTGGAAACCATGGCAACGTCTGTCACACCTCCCAATGCAAACAGCAGTGCCAACAAGTTTTCCAATCAGTCCCTCCCCCCAGACTTCATAGAGTCACCCACAGGACCTGTGCTAACACAGCTGGGGAAATATCAGGTATGGGTTTTTTTCTTTTGCTGTTGGCACTCTGGGTTGGCCAGTCCGTGAAAGTACTCTCTATCTGTCTGTTAACCACAGTCATCACGTCATTAACATCACAACTTTATTGATAAAATCTTGAAAAGATTTTTTAAAAGTTCTGAAAAGCAAGTGGAATTCATTTGATGAATATTGCCATGATGAGACACAAGAAATGATAATTTTTGAAAAAAGAGGTGGTATTAATTTAATTTTGTGAGTAGTGGTATTAATTGAATTTTGTAAGTAGTTACTGTGATTTGTTATTTGCTTCAGCTAATGAATGGTCTCCGCAAGTTTGAAATTAGTTACCAAGGCAACCCCGACCTTCAGCCCATTAGAAGCTATGAATGTGCCCCATTGGTGAGAATACTCCATCAAGTTTCTTCATTCCTGAATAGCAAGGTACAGTGCAAAGACCTTTTAACCCTTTGACTTTAACCTTTTTAACCACGATTGTTACCCTTGAGAAACCATTTCTGTAAATTCGAACAGAATCCTTACTGTGCAAAATGTCACTTCAAAAACAATTTTCCAAATCCATCAGCTTCAGCCAGATTTCATGAAATTTAATTCCAGTGTAGAGTTTGCATGTCAATTTTATTCATGCTGTCGCAATTGAAGGTCACATTTCCCCAAGTTTTAATCTAAAAGAATTTCCCAACCTAAGGAGAATTACCTCAGAAAAATTGACAACACACCTGGAGAATGTGTAACACAAGATGTTATATGCAGAAGTCTGTTGTCACACATAAATATGTACATTTATACAGGTATCACTGCTGGACCTCTGTACCATAAACATACATATGTAAAAACCACTCTTTTAATACAATCATTATATTTTGGTTTATGAAAAGCTATGTTAATTTTAAAAATCAAATTCCAAATTTAAATATTGGCAGACTCTCTCTCTTTCAATCAACAGTAATGAGTAACAAATTAAGCATTTGACTTAAATACTAGAGATTGAGGTTAACAGGATTACTGATTGAATTGCATCTGGTAACATCACTTTTTGAATTAGTTTTCAGACAAAATTCAAAATTCCTACACAAGGGATGACATGGTGGGAAAAATGACTTTCATATTATTTTCACCGCCCTCGGAACAGAAAGGTAAAAAATCAAGTTTTGTGGCATCACCAACAAGAACAAAAGACTGGACCACACCGAGAATAAGTTTGAGATTTTTGGCAAATTACCAGACTCTGGGCTACCTGATGGGAGGATATTTGTTTTTTTACATGTTTTTTGGAATGGGACCTGTTGCATTCAGCTTCATACTGATGCTTGGACTGCTGTTGTCAGTTTTCTTCAGAGCACTGGTGTTACCAGCTTCAAAATTTAAGCGAAGTTAATATTAATGTTGAAATACAAGCCATGCCATAGCTTCATTACAGCTAGTCACAATAGATCTATCATGTTGTTTAGTCAAGTAATTTTTACAGATCATGGAAATTGTGATAGTCAATTATCAGATCAATACTCATTTAGTTTATTTGAATTGTATTTTCCTGCCAAACAAGCCTGAATACAGCTCTTTAATTTCTAGAACTGCTTATATGTAAAACGTCTAAGTAAATCTCTGTTACACCTCTGTGAGGTCACTGCTACTTACCCTTACATCTTGGTTGTCTTAAAATAGAAAATCAAATTTTTTTACAGGATGTGAATGCATTTTCAGTTCTCTCTGAAACTAGGCGTAAGTTATCTGCACTGTGGCTTAAACTAATATCCGGATGCCCAGAAAGAAAATATCCAGTTTAAAGACTACTTTTAATTACTCGTTTATTAAAATAAAATATTTAGTAAACATAAATTCAGAGCATCAAGAAAAGTTCCTTGTTTATCTTTTTTTTTTTTGAACAGAGAACTGATCTCAGTTAGAGCTTTACAGCTTATTTTAAGCCAATAAAGGAAATAAAAGTTAAATAAAATTTTCTGCACAATACATTGTATCAATTTTTTTAAAGAAAACAATAACTGACTATTAACAATAGTAAACTAGAAATGGCTCTTCTCTATCCAATGTAGATTCTACATAACATATTTATAACACAACTTTTGTGCAATTTCTGTGGGATTGAAGTTGGTCAACTTCTTTCTTTTTGTTGCCCTTTAAAATATCAACATTAAGACTGGCTAATCACTTCTGTATTTACATACAAAGTGGCACTACTCTTTGCTATTAGCTTCTGCTCTCCCCCTGAAATCAACTTATGGCAAAGAAGGGGGGGGGGGGGCCGGATGGATGGATGGACAACACCTTATCCTCCATATCTGTCCAGGCCTATCTCTGTACTTTTAAAACTTTTTTCCACATGAAGAGGCCTAATTCTTGAGAAGCATTTTTCTGAAGTCACTATTACTGAGTTTTTGTTCACCGGGATTATCACTGGGGGCTCTGGCAGAAGTGTCTGCCTTGTTCCCAGCTGCTGCTGGCTTGCTGGGCGCACCGCAGGACTGAAGAGCTCTGGGCACCATGGACAGCTGTGTTCTTGCTTTGCCTCGCCTGGAATAGTACACTGTCTCAATTAATCTCAGATGATTATGTGCAATAGGAATGAAGTATTATCATGACCTATATTCTATATTTTTCAAAAGTAGTTGTTATAAAGTTCTTGACCGTAAACAATTTTTTAAATATTGAACCTTTCCCACTGCATTTCTCTACACTGTATTTCTGAGTTAAATATTATGTGGCAATTACAAGCAGGGGCACTAGAAATTTAAGATTCCTGATTTTTTCTGCTTAAAATCTACTCTGTCCACAACCAACCTTGTGAAAAAAATGAATCCCAAAAAATCATAATTATATCTAAAACATACTCTGTTGTTTCTTTCTTCCCTCCGCCCAAAGAAGCAATAAATGAGCTTGTCTCTCTCTCTTTCACCGGCACTTTCCTTTGAGGTGGGTTGCTTATGGCCACAGAGATGGTGTGATCTTCTATATGAAGCCCATCTGTCTTCAGTACTGCGTGACCTGCATCAGCCTGGTAAAAATGAAAAAACATTTTTTAAATAATTAGAATGTATAATACTTTTTTTTTGTATGTTTTATGTGGCATGATTTAATATCAAACACTTGTGAGTGGCTTAAATTGACAGACTTCACAAAATTTGTTAACATTCAAAATAGTTATATGAAATGTGCATCTTTTTAACCTTCACTTAAGACCCTCAGGTAGTTACACTTTCAAATGACTAACCTCGTTCTCATATTCAACATAAGCAAGTCCCTTTGGTGCTCCACTTCTGTAAGTAACCAGGCGGATTTCTTTTAATTTGCCATGTTGGCCAAAGATGGTGCGTAATGCTTCCTCCGTCACAGAAAATGGTAATCCTTTCACAAATAATTTGTTCTTTTCCATACTGGATGAAAACTAAAATGAAAACCAAATGGGTTTTAGCAAATATTTATTAGATGAACAGTAACTACCAATCTTTTTACATGACTATGGTGATAAGGATTTTTTAATAATTCATAAGTTTTAATATTTCTAATCTCAACCTCTTTTCTACCACTTTCCTATTGAATTCCAATCCTAAATCAAAGGACAAAGCTATAATTTTACCTTGAATTGTTTAGTTTTGTGGTCTTTATCCATACAAGGAGATACAAATACAGGCCTCCCTTCCACAGATAGTCGGTCCTTTTTTAGGGCATTTTCTGCTGACCTGGACGTCTTGAATTCTATGTAGCCATAGCCCTTGGAAAGACCCTTGAAGTTCTTGATGAGGCGGACATCAACTATTTCACCACACTGTAAATAATTATTTTGAAACTGCAGTAATTATGACAATTTTTAATGCCATTTTTTACCAAATGTCAAACTATGCTTAACAAATCTTTGCTAAATTTTATTACAATGCTGACATTTCATTTGCTCCCCGACTCATACTTTCCACCTGACAAGAAAACATTCCATTTGATGAAATTCAAAGAATATTTTTAAAAGAATGATATTTGAATACTGTAAAAACAAGGCTTCAAATAGAAAAATGAGAGAATGTCCAACAAAACCAAAAACATTTGAATGGTAAATCTAAATTTAAACCAATGCATATAATCATCACAAGTGTTAACAAAAACACATATTGTATAGATATCTGAACTTAAAATTCATTTTTGACCACTGATAACCCTCTCTAAATAGTGTGCTTCATCTTTTTGTGTTCACTGAAAAACTGAACTTGGGTAAGTTTTTAAATGTACCTCACTAAATATGCCTTTGATTTTATCCTCTTCCACAGAATATGCCAAGTTACTAAGAAAGACTGTTCTTTCATTGGCACCATGCTCAGTCACATCTTGAGAAATCTGAGATTCAGTCTTTTCCAATGCTAGAAGAAAAATTGAAAAAAAAAAGTATGATAATGTGACTGCATTGATTAAAACATTTATCAAAATGACCCAGGCATATATAAATAATAACCTCTGGACAACATTTCCTAATAGTTCTTTCTATTATGAAAAAGTATGTCATTTGTAGTTGTGATAAAAAATTGCAAGAAATAATAACAGCATACACATTAGTCTTCTTATATAATGTTCCTTTTTTTCAACAAAGTTAAAGCTGCAAATTCATTTCTTATACTGTCTCCTGAATCAAACAGCAAAAAAATCCAACACAACATAGCATATAAAATAATTGAATAAAGAAAAAAAATTCTTCACCAATATAACATGAAACATGACCATTATCATTTGTGTTCAAAATTAACTTTTCATACTTTTCAAGGGTGGATCATTATCATTTGTGTGCAAAACTTACTTTTCATCCTTTTCGAGGGTGGCTCCTCAACTTCTGTCTGTCTGGGCTTGTACCCGGGAGGAGGTGGAGTTTTGAACACATTAGGTGTGGGTTCTTTGGATGGAAGGGATGGGGTGGCTTTCTCTGTTGTTTTCTGTCCAATGGGTCTCTTTGGTTCCTTTTTGTCTAGCACCGTTGGAATAGGTTGGAAGTTCTAATAAGATACAAGAAAACTAAGATGACAGAATTCAAAATATGTGGCTCTTAACAGTGTTTAAGCAATATAAAACCTGAAGATGACAGGAATCCAAAAGGTTGAAGAATACCATACCTAAAATGAATCAATATCAGAAGTGAGGGGTGCTTAAATATATCAGTTAGTTACGCTGCAGTGGCATAAATTTGTTCCTTGGTTTCAACATTAAACTGTATGCCACTTAAAATTTAACATATTAAGTTTTGAATTTGTTTGTCTTGGGAAATAATCACTTGTGCCAGAGTAGAATGGCATTAGTTTAACAATTGTGAGTTTAAATGATTTGAATTTACCTGTTGCTGTTCCTGCTGTTTCGGGCCCCCTCTTGGTTTCTGTGGTTTGTGTTCTGGCCTTTTCCCTGGCTTTTTCTCCATTCTGTCCTTTTTTGTATCTTCAAATGCTTTCTTTTCTGCTGCCTGAAGTGAAAAGTTACTCATTCTATCTATTATTCAATCAAATTATGTTCAGCAGAAATGAATGCTTGTCTTCTGAACATAAATTTAAAAAAATTGAAATAATTTATTAATTAAAACTAGGTTTTAACTTTACACATTTGACACATATGGTTACTTTTACATCAAGTGCTGGATTCTGTTGGTGCAAAAGAAATTTCTTTCCCAGTGACAAAACACTCAGGGTGTTAATGGTATCCTATGCTTCAAATTTTTCCAAAGGGGAGGGAGCTTTATAGAAGCTTAAAATAGCAAACACATACAACAGCATTGCCAACTTCACTCAGAGCTATACCTTTGCTCTTCTTTCCTTCACTCTGTTCAGCTGTGCTGTGCACTTTGTCACTGCAATATCATATTGAGATAGGGTACCTAAAAATAAAAGTATTTCACTTTAAGTACCTTAAGTTACATAAACTAATGTAGTCCTTGTCTGATTAGAGCTGGATTTCTTGCCCTTTCCCTTCAAACAGAACCAGAGCAAGGGAGTTGTACAATCATAAGTTGTTTCTATTATTCAAAGTATGGAGTAAATCAATATCTTTAGTTTTTAATTCAATCGAATATACAAAGCCACACAACAAAATATATCAATTTTAATGCAAACAACAATAAGACAGTGTGACTTCAGCTAATTATGTAATTAAAGAACTTAATCTGTACCTTCTTCTCTCTCGAAGTTAATGTAGGTTTCACACATTGTCTCAGGCCAGTCATTCACAGAGTTCACAGCTTGCTGTAATAACTTCCTGCAATGCTTGTTGTCACCATGTGCTCTTTCTAAATTGAAATATTCCATCCACATTTGTGCTTGGTTTCCAAAGCCAGCAGTCATCACCTGATTCCACAGCTCTCTAGCCTTAGCCATGTTCTTGCATTGTTTTGCCTGTAGAAAGGAGAAGATTGAAAGGTATTAGGTTGACAATCACCAAATACCAAAGTTAAATGCATTTACTATACCTGCCCAAGTTTGGGTTTTTGTCTATAACATAACCATCAATTTGCAATTTCATGGCTACACCATTAAAGACAAACTCATTGTTGAATATAGATTTTAAACAAGGTGATCCAAGAGGTGTGGGCCACATGCAAAGTGGGTTTTATTCAAAGTCACATCACATCCTCTACAGCTGATATTACCTCTATTCTTGCCCAGTATTGCTGAAGAGTACAGAGGGGGTCACCATCATTACCAAAGGCTGAAATGATTCAGACACATTCACCATCATCAAAACTACATTATATATCAAATCTATATCAAATCAAAATACATCTATATTATATACCATTATTTAGTAGCAGGTTCATTTACAATATATATAGTGATAATAGTATTACTTCTTGCTAGTGTATACTATTTCCATGGCAAGGGAAAAAATTATTCAGGTATTCATGTGTTGGTTGATATTAAAAAGCAGTGATACATTTAGAGCATTTTTTTCAACTCTCAGTATTCAGTTTCGAAACTAAGAAATTAAACCAATTCATGTACCATTGTAAACCTAATGACTCTGTATGTTACAACTTAATTTATCTAAAGTATTTAACTATTACATTCACAAAAAATAATAATAATACTAATAATAAATAAATAAATAAAATGGCTTACCTGTGTATAAATAATCTATGGCTTTTTCACATTCATTTCTGAATTCTTCTACATTCTGTATATTCCCTGAAGTTAAATTATACACACATTTCTGAATTGTTAAGTCTCAAATTCAATAAAATTTACCAAATCTTAAATCTAAAAAAAATTGAAAGCAATTTTTTCTGTGAAAGCACTCCATACAAAAGAGCCTCTAAGTATCAAGACACTCTGCATAAGGCTCCATAGCTCAGAGTGCTCAGAGTTGATATTCTCTACTCAAACATTTACTCAAGACACCAACATGGACATTGCTATCAATTCAGCGGAACTGCCACTTAAACCATACCTTCTTCCCATTTTATTTTCCTTCTCAGATAATCACAATAGGCTGTATACAGCTGGAGATAGTCTGATGCTTGAGTGAAGCCCACAGACAATGCCTTATTCAGGCACCCTGAAAATACACCCAATCCCATCTTAGACTAGAGATGAATGGTCTGTGCACAGATAAATTTACATAAATAAAATTCCAATAATCAGTTCACTTTATATAAGTTTTATCTTAAATATCTTATTTGTTGAAATACAATGCCACACCTTTTATAGTTTCTTGTGGTCTCTCTGCTCTTTCTAAAGCCCGTAGGTAGCCAGTCCACAATTCAACACACCATGGGCAGTTTCTCACACCTCTTTCATACACTTCTAAAGCTAGGGATGGGATCTTCAAATCCATGTCCTGAAAATATCACAAGTATAAAGCAACAGTGAAAAATAGGTGGCATTGACATGGATGACATGGATAAAATGCCTCTTAAACATTTTGAAAAGGTTAAGATTTTAGTAAACCTAGGTCCAATAGTTGCTGAAAAAACTTGAAAATATCATGCTGAGAACTCACCAAATACTTAGTGTACTGAACCCAGAGGTCTGGGACCAGGCAGTTTTCTTGAATGGCCCTTTCAAATAGACACTGGATACGACTTGGGTCGGACTGTGTCACCTCAAAGTCAATGTAACTCTGGTACTCTGCCAGCCTTGGGATGTCTGCTGCTAACTAAGAAATGTATTTTTTTTTTGTTTATTATGTTTTGCTGTGTTAGATGCTCCCTAAACTACGGCTGCATCTTGATCTCTACAGAGTCATAGCATGAGAACTACAGGCACTTAATTACCTGCACTTGCACTATTGACTTTGTATTACATTTATTCAATGAATCTTTAAAAAAAGGTCATATGCTTAGAACTTGCCATACATGACTTTTAAAATTAATATGGCCAATCAAAACCATGATTAAATCAATAAATTACCAATGCCTCTTCATATGGCTTTAAAACTTTCAGCTTTGCCACAGCTTTCTCATATGCCTTTTGTGTCTGGACATCAATGTCATCAGAGACCCACTGTTGATATTCCTCATATGTATCTTCCATATCTGCAACAACAAAAGTCTCTGCAAGAATTCTTTAAAAGAATGCTATAAAAATTAATCTTGTATATTTATAACTCTTCACCAGTGATTACTGATCACAGCAACTTTACACTTAAAAAATTAAATAAGAAATAAATAAAACAAATATTTCTAAAAATCCCTTTTTCTCCACTAAGCTTAAGACTTGCATTTTCAACATGGTGATCATTAAAATGCGATTCTGACAAAATAATGACCTACCCATAAGTGGTACAGCCAGCTGACGCTTGAACAGGGTGCTAATACGATTGATTTGTTCTTCAATTTGGGACTGCTGCTCTGGTGATGGTATGCTGCCAATACTTGGCTGAATAAATAATAGTAGTAGATAAACTTTTTTTATTATTAAATAGTGTCTGTATAAAATAAGGAATTAACTTTCAATGAAGGTGGGGTATGTCTTCATTTATGGGAGCAGTAACTTTGGTCAAAGACTGAACGTTTTCTGGTCTTCTGCTGATTGAGCTTGATTACAACCATCCTGGCTGAGCAAATTTATTAACATGTTTTAATACCCAGGGCCCTAGTCTAAAAGACATGACACTTACCTGTAATCCACTCAGAATAGCGTTTTCAAATTCTCTGTAAGCCTCCCAGAGACTTGCCCCTTTTGTCATATGAAGTCCACCTGCAGTAATAGCTCTTTCAAATGTGCTTCTTATATGGTCTATGCCTCCTTCTTTGGCCATTTCTCCAATGGAAAACTGAACATACTCCAGCCACAGAGGAATAGCTTCATAGCATTGAAAAGAAAGAATTTTAAAGGTAAAGGTATACAAAATCTGCATGCAATGTTGTCCTTACAATACTCGATTCAATTGAATAACAAATATCAAATCAATTAGACAGGGTAACACAAATAAAAGGATTATTTTTCATGCATGATAAAAGAACAGATTTTAGTTACTGTAGCGCTTTCTTTCTATATATATGCAGTGTACATGGCATCCCCTCTCAAGAAATAAAATCAGCAATGTCCAGGTAATCTGGTATAAAGCACCGAGACTGGTAGTCTAAATGACACTTACAAAGATAATCCTGTACAGCTTTGTCAAACAACTTGGTTACCATAACTCTTTCTTCATCACTTGAGATCAGTGGAATTTCATCTTGTAACCAATCAGTCCAAATCTCTAATGAAAAACATCACAAACAAGATTACATAGAAAATAACACATTTTACAAACAGACTTTTAAAAATTAAAAAAATTATTACTTTTGGAAAAAATATCTTCTTTTTCAAGAATGAGCATGGCAAAGCTTGTAAATATAGTCAAGTACATACACATTGGTCAATATGCATGATTAATTCAATATCAGAATAATTATTTACAGAAATGTGAACAGCACAGATATTATGAAAAGAATATACTATCCGATCACCAATGAAAAATAAGAAACAAATTAAAATATACCTTCTGTCAGTGGAAAAAGTTCACTCATAACTTTACGGGCTTCTCGTAATTGCTTCAGTTCCCCACACTGTTTTAAGACTTTAATCAACTTCACATGACCATCATAGTAATAGGGATTTTTATCCACCTGTTGAAATATACAAAAATAAATACATGTACACAAATATCTTAAGCCATTACAAATATGTGACATTTAATTTCATCTGGAAAAATCGGCTCTAGAGACTATATTGCAAGCCTGCAAATGACCTCAAGTGTGACTATTGTGTTCTAACGTATAACGTTACAAAAATGTATCTTGGAATTTTCAACTTTGTTAAAACTTTATTTAAATATTAAAATAAACAAACCTCCGACCGGAGTTCTGTGATTTGCTGCTGCAGCTCATCGTCTTCATCACTTGATTCATCAGACTCAGACTGGTCTTCTGCAGTCTCCATCCTTTCTGGCTCCTCCTTGCTGCCTTCACTTTCCATAATTGACAAATTTTATAATCAGTCAGTCGAAGTAAATGTCAATGCTTGACGCCTGTCACTGTGTCAGTGCAACGCCGTTCAAGCTACTGAGTATCTTGAAGTAAACACTAAACGCTCCCCTTGTGCAATATAATACTATCAACTTGAAATTATCAAAAACCAAGCGTTAATGTTCGTCAGTGTGAAGTAAGCCGGAATATTTTGCACGCCGACTGCACGTTGCTCCAGCCTTGCAGTGTCAACTTCCGGTAGTGGCGGTAAATATTTGCGCATGCGTCACGCAGAAAACTCTACAGGCGAAAGTGAAAGTGTCATTTCTCGTTACTGTCTATTTGAATCCACCAAACACATGTAAACTCTATGCCGATCTGTTTTCGCAGGTAAATTAAAAGAGAATATTTAAACAAGTCCTGGTTTGTAAAAACTACTTTTCTTTTTTGGGGTCGTACGTATACATTTCCCCATTTTACAAACGCCACGGAAATCATGATGACTAAATTATACAACGAAATATGCCACACTTAAGAGCCGGATTTAAGCATTTTGTTTGTGATTTATCACCATTTCAAATATAACGTTCAAAAAATTTTTGAAATTAGAGCTTTCTAAAATAGGACCAGATTAGCACACATTTAAAGTGAGAAATCCATGGAGAAAAACAAAATCAATTGATTGTATATATATTGATTCTTTCATATTTTTTGCTGTGAGATTTATTTCACGCATTCACACAAGAGGGCAAGGGTGAGTCTTACTTAATTAATTCTATTAATAAGTTAGTAATTATGTCTTGAGAGGTTGACAATCTAACAGTGGCGGGTTTAGAGGGGGGGTCCTGACCCCCCTTCGGTTTCTGAAAAATATATCACACCAATATTCCCCTCTTGACATTAGAATTTTGACTAGCTAAATCATAGTTCTAAACCGTACCAAAGCTAAAGGGCACTGTTTGCTCTCCAAAACACCACAAAATTTTCGGGGCCCTTGAGCACCCCCGAACCCCACACCAGGGGGTAGGTGGGGGGGGGGCGATGGTTGGCTTCTCATCCGAGGTCTGGCGTTCCGTTCCCCCTTAAATAATCCTGGATACGACCCTGCCTAATCCTCTTTCGAGATGGAGACTTATTGTACCTTCAAATAAACCAGACTATAATTCAAATGAAAACGATTTCAACAGCAACCCCTCAATCAAAATGTGCCAAAATTTGCATAACAGTAAGTCGCTCAGCGCAGTGCGCACTACTCGTATCTTCTTGACTAGTCACTTGACAGCTGGACACCGTAAGGACAGGTCGCTGATATGTGTGATGAAGTCGCACAGCCGGGATGTTTATTCAGCTTCAAAATTGTAAAAAAATCGCCATGTGAGTACAAGCTTTTCATGTTTTTTACGAGTTCAAGCTACCAGATAATAATTTCTTATTATTTTGCTCGTTCTAAACTTTAAGTTGGCCTGGGTAGTTGACTGGATTTGAGAAAAGATTTATAGTGATATCTTTAAAAATCTTGAAAAGCACGTGCTGCCAGTAAAAACATAAATATAATATGCAGAAAGTTTTATAAGATAGTTTGATTTTTGGTGCCCAGATGCTGTCACTTCAATGTCACTCACTGTGGCTAATTAGGCCACCTGAATATATTTCGTATTTTAAACACTTCCATAGTACATGTGCGTGATACATTCGTGTGAACCTTCTCAGATGCCTACATTACAAACTGATCAGTATAACTGTGCATTTAGTTTTACCAGTATTTTTAAAAAGGATTTCCATATTTTCAATTGGAACATTAACGAGAGAAAACTATGTAAGTTTTTTACGATGACTTGTCTGTGTATGTTAGCCGTCTAGACTCCATATGTGTAAATGTTAATTAATTAAGTCACTAAACATTAAGTCACTGTATGTAAGACAGTAAATCAGCAGTTTTGGGCGAAGGGTGACAACATCCTTAATTCCTTAGTCTTTGACTGGGTTCCCATACCTAGATCGATCTAACAGGATCGATCCATCTCCGATGGGTTTCTCGCTAATTTGCTTTCAGCTTAAGCGGCTTAGACGTCTGGCATGCCTACTGAAGCTGCTAAACAATTTATTACCCCTTAGCAGCTTCAGTAGGCGTGACAGACATCTAAGTCGCTTAAGTTGATTGCAATTTAGCGAGAATGCCCTTGGGAGTTAGATCGATCCACAGTTAGTACGATAGGGTCTGGGAATGGTCCCTTTACCCTGTAGACGCTTTCCAAAGTATTGACCCATTATTTCTTGTGATTCTTCTCATCGTGAAATATCAAAATATTTGAATCTTGCATACAAACCGTTTAGTCGATTTTTCAAATTTGGTGTCCAGTTAGCCGCAATGTGATTTTTTTTTCGGCGTGAGCAGAGGTTTATCCATTTTCAGTTAATCTAATCTTTATTCGGATTCTCTGCTTTCGAAGATTGAAATATCGCCATTTAAATGTTATTTTGATATTTCAGAACTGCAAACGCCTTTGCCGAGATCCTGCAGAATGCACGTTCGCCTGACTAAAGCTTCCCTGGTCTCCGAGACTTATTTTAAAATCTGCCGCAGATCCACATCCATTCGCACCGCAGATGCTATATGTTGAAAATTGTACATGGTCTCTCTCTCTCTCTCTCTGTGGCTTTTAAACACATTTTAACATATTGAAACGGTGCACTATAGATCGATCGTGTTCCCTTTAGAAATTTTACTTAAAAATTGACCCTTTTTTTTAAATATATATTATACCCTAGGGACTGATCATGATATATTTTAAATTATACCTTAGGGCATGCTATGTTTATCATTTTATTTGGAACCAATCCAGTTTCTTTTTAAATTCATCTCATTATGCAATAGTGCATTTATTAAAGTAATTAAAATGGCATGATGTTATTTCCAGAGTGATGGCAAATCATAAATTTCAAAGTTGAGAGTAAAAACGCAATTTTCACGATGTTGAAGCTTGGGCAAGATTGTTTATTTAGCCAAGCAGCTACCTTATCATATTATTATAGTTTGCACTATATAAGTCAATTTTTATTCTTAATATTTACATTTGTGAATGTAAAGCAATTTAAGAAAATAAATGCGCTTTTTAGGGGTAGTTTTTGATTTAATCTGAAATACACAGAATTAAAGTAAAATTAATATGTACTGGATTTTTATAATGGCACGAATTATTAATAATATTATAAGTAAATTCTCTAGGTGCCAATTTTCAGATTAATCATTTCCAGTCATATTCAAACGCTTAAAATCGCCTGTCGGCCTATTCTTTGTCCAGTGAATCCGGTCCTGTTCAAAGACTGTTCTATTTCCTCATTATCTTTTATTATTTGAGCACATGAGTCCTCCAGTGAGTATTTAATTGTTTATTCGTGGTTTTCTGTCATTAAATATGTCATATAATAAAAAATACATTGCTTGTCTTTGCTTGTAGATTGAAAAAAATAATACTCGTATGACTTCATAGATATGAGTGAAAGAAAAAAAAACGTCTCGTCTTTGGGCAAGTCTATCAAATTTGAGGGGTGAAAGGTGGGAGTCCATTTGATTTGAGAGGTGTCAGATGGGGTCAGTTCACTCCATTTAGGGGTGACAGGTGGGGCGAGTTCACTTCATTTGAGGGGTGACAGGTGGGGCGAGTTAACTTCATTTGAGGGATGACAGGTAGGACGATTCCATTCCATTTGAGGGGTGACAGGTGGGACGAGTCCATTCCATTTGAGGGGGTGACAGGTGGGGCGAGTCCATTCCATTTGAGGGGTGATAGGTGAGTCGAGACCATTCTTTTTGGGGAGAGCACACAAGTAAAATCACAAAATTACATATTAATGGCACTGCAATTAGGTGTATAAAAGGACACTATATTTTTAGTATTGTTTTACCAAGTTTTAAGGGGTTAAGACTTTGTATCATGCAGAAAAAGACATTAAATTATTTGGCTAAAAAACTACATTTTTTACAAATTTATTAAAAAGATTACCTTTTTGTCTGCACATTTGGGACTGTGTGGAAATAAATCTAGGTCACAAAATTAAATCAAAGGATCAATATATTCTATTTATGATTTTAATGAGACATTTTCAAATAGATTGGAATATGCAGACCTAATTTTTGGGTGAAGCAAATTTCAACTGTTGCCTTTTCTAAAGTATTAATCTGATGAGCTCGTGAAATTTGAATAAATTTTCTGTAGCAAACCAGAACCCTTAAAACATGGACCTATATTAAATTAAGAAAATTATATCCCGAAGGACGAACTTATTTATTCCAATAGATATAAAAAAAACCTTCTCTCCATATAATAAAATGTAGGGCAGATTTTCAAAAAGGCAAGATCGTAAATTCATAAAAATTATATTTATAAATGTAGGATGTTGGAAAATCCTGCGGATGTATTTTTTAAATTCTCAACTTCAGTTATTTACAAAATACTGGGCATATTAACAAACCTTTTAAAACCTTCGCTTTAAGACATCCTCTGTTACTGTAGAAATCATCTATCCCAAACACAATGATTACAGATCAATTTTAACAGATTTAATTTGAAAGTGCACAGACAATAATCATATCTTCATAACTTTACCCCTAACCATCTACTATTACTAATATTTTTATCATTATTTCATATCGAAATAAAAAAACAAGTAATTACAAACGTTTTTATTCAATTTTAAAACAAAAGATGCATGGATGTGCGCAGGGTTCCAGAACGTGAATGACCGGCTTGGTTGCTAGCAGGCGGGTGTCGTGCAGTTCTCAGCATCTCAGTGGATTTCTGAAATGAGAAGGTAATGTTAGCAATATCTGACTTAACGGGGAGACTCGGAAAATACAACCAATGCATTTTACATCTAAGAGAAGAGGATACTTGAAATGATGTGGGTGTTTACTGACTTGTCCAAAGTTCAGGCTCAGATAGCACCCCAAAAAAGTAATCGATATCTATGTTGCCTAACGCCAAAATTAAGACCTTAAGTTAGTAATAAAGATATTTCAGGTGTTTTGCTTTGAAAAAATAAATATTGAAAACACTTCTCTAATTTGTGGAGATCATCACAAGGGACGTTTATTTATTTTACCTACTATGTTATGTTGTAATATCTGAAGTCGCTTTGCACCACGCGTTTGGGAG